TGCACATTTTCCCAAGAGTTTGAAATACTCAAACTTTTTCATTAAAAGTACTACCTACTTAATTATCTTTTTGTGTGTGGGAAGCACCTAAACATTTTCAACTATGTTCTTGAAAGGATAACTGATAAAACTTTCTGTTGCATACTTTCATTTGTGTCTTCAGTATACTTGTATCTGATAATGTGTTATCACCTGCAACTAATAATTTCTTATCCAGCTGCCTCTACAGTGTCCTGCTATGTGCCTTTTCCTTACCACCTTGCACCATTTATTAATGCTATTTACCTGTAGTCAGACCTAAAAGCTATGCTACTTTCTGTTCACATTGCTCAGAGGTGACATGCTTGACCTCAATAAATAGCATCTATTAAGAGTTCTTCCTGGTACAGTTATTAAAAACATAATTGTTAAAAAAAATAAAGATAAAATTACAAATACCAAAAAAAAAAAAATAAAAATAAAAACATAATTGTTCACAAAATCTAAGGCTATGGATAACTAGAACAGGGACTCCTAGAACTCTTTTAATGATTTCATAAATCTACTACAGTTCAAAATAAGATGTTAAGCAATTTGCTATGCAAAGAAAGGCATTATAATGGAAAATGCTCATTAAAAACTTTTAAAAAACATTAATATTGATTGATGTTTCATTTAGAGATAAGGCTTTTCCTTATAAATTTCTAAGACTGGAAGAGAAAATATTTAGGCCCTGTACTATGCAATAACATCTGGCATAAACACAACAGAAATTATTAATATTTTAACCTAAGATGAACATACTGTAATAAAGTGAAACAAAATTGGTAATTTAGAAAATATTTTAATATTTAGGTATGTAATGTGATGCTGAAGAAGCTGAAGTTGAACGTTTCTATGAAGACCTACAAGACCTTTTAGATCTAACACCCAAAAAAAGATGTCCTTTTCATTATAGGGGACTGGAGTGCAAAAGTAGGAAGTCAGGAAACACCTGGAGTAACAGGCAAATTTGGCCTTGGAGTACGGAATGAAGCAGGACAAAGGCTAATAGAGTTTTGCCAAGAGAACACACTGGTCATAGCAAACACCCTCTTCCAAAAACACAAGAGAAGACTCTACACATGGACATCCCCAGATGGCCAACACCGAAATCAAATTGATTATATTCTTTGCAGCCAAAGATGGAGACACTCTATACAGTCAGCAAAAACAAGACTGGGAGCTGACTGTGGCTCAGATCATGAACTCCTTATTGACAAATTCAGACTTAACATGAAGAAAGGGGAAAATCACTAGACCATTCATGTATGACCTAAATCAAATCCCTTACGATTATACAGTGGAAGTGAGAAATAGATTTAAGGGACTAGATCTGATAGAGTGCCTGATGAACTATAGACGGAGGTTTGTGGCATTGTACAGGAGATAGGGATCAAGACCATCCCCCAAAAAAGAAATGCAAAAATGCAAAATGGCTGTCTGAGGAGGCCTTACAAATAGCTGTGAAAAGAAGAGACGCGAAAAACAAAGGACATGAGTTTGGGTAAACTCTGGGAGTTGGTGATGTACAGGGAGGCCTGGTGTGTTGCAGTTCATGGGGTCGCAGAGTCAGACATGACTGAGTGACTGAACTGAACTGAACTGATATTGGTTGCCAGGGGCTGGAGAAAGGGAGAATGGGGTGTTGCTGTCCAATGATTACAAAGTTTCAGTTTTACTAGATGAACAACTTCTAGAGAACTGCTGTACCACATTCTGTCTATAGTTACTATATTGTCCACTTAAAATTTTAGAAAGACAGATCTCATGTATGTTGTGTTATCATTACAATAAAAGAAAAAAGATTATATTATACTTTAAAAAAAAAAAAAAACAAAGGAGAAAAGGAAAGATACATTCATTTGAATGCAGAGTTCCAAAGAATAGCAAGGAGAGATACGAAAGCCTTCCTCAGTGATCACTGCAAAGAAATAGAGGAAAACAATAGAATGGGAAAGACTAGAGATCTCTTCAAGAAAATTAGAGATACCAAGGGAAATTTTCATGCAAAGATGAGCTCAATAAAGGACAGAAACGGTATTGGATTAACAGAAGCAGAAGATATTAAGAGGTGGCAAGAATACACAGAAGAACTGTACAAAAAAAATCTTCGCGATCAAGATAATCATGATGGTGTGATCACTCACTTCTGAATTATTTATTACATCAGTATTTCAATTTTGTGGGAACATGCTAAAGGCACAATGATGAAAATAATACAGTCTCAATCTGACCACATCATGCCGCCCCAAAATGAGTCCCTATGTATATAGTACTGCAGTATCTTCTAATGTCCATAACAAAATTGTTTAAATAAAATTTAAATATCAAGTTATGGTTGTGATAAAAAAAGTTCACTTGATTTTAAAGCAGAAGTCTTGGGTTGTAAGAAAGCACTCTTCCATAGCAAATTATAGTGCTACTGGCAGCATATGTAAATAACATGAAAAGTGTTTCCCAAAGTAGGTAGCCATGGATATAGGGAATTACTTATATAAAGACTGTGTAACTTAAAATACTGGAATATTTACAGAATCACAGATTTTAAAGAAAATCTTTACCCTCATTTCTGAAGAATATTAATTTGAAGAAGCTGTCTGGCATTAACTGGTACAATACTTACTTACCTGTGTCTTGTGCACAATCAACTAAACAGTGGCAAGTTTACTTTCCTTTTATATAAGGTCTGAATCAAAATTTAAAACATCATAAACACTCAATGAACAATAATTCTCTTGTAAACTTAGAATTTTACAATAAAGCAGTCATTCCATCTAAAAACTTTAGATATATGGAATTTTCTCCTAAAACTAAAAACAAGCATTAAAAGAAAAACTATTTTAAAAGAAACCTAGTTAACATCCTTATTTTTATAAACAAAATGTTATCGACCTTTAAGAATCTATTTCAGGTACCTAAGTTATAGTACAAAAATCTGAAATCAAACATATATGATATGCTATTTTTTACTTGAAAATTAGCAGAATGGAAGATCTAAGTGCACGAACATTACATATACAGATCCTGGAGGAGTCTTTTTACAAATTAAATAAAAATTATAGTCAACTTTCATCAAAATATTTACTACAAATCTTTTAAAATCTAATGTATTATCATTTCAGAAGATTTGTGTGTTTGGTAACTACATTTGGTAAAATGTTTTAAAGTAAGTGAAGGTCACTCAGTCGTGTTTGGCTCTTTGCAACCCCATGGACTATATAGTCCAGGGAATTCTCCAGGCCAGAATACTGAAGTGGGTAGCCTTTCCCTTCTCCAGGGGATCTTCCCAACCCAGGGATTGAACTGGTGTCTCCTGCACTGCAGGCAGATTCTTTACCAGCTTAGCCACAAGGAAAGCCCCAAAATACTGGAGTGGGTAGCCTATCCTTTCTTCAGGGGATCTTCCCAACCCAGGAATTGAACCGGGGTCTCCTGCACTTTACCAACTGAGCTATGAAGGAAGCCCAAATACTTTAAAGATAACATAAAAAGCATTTCTTCCCTTCCCTTCCAACAAAAAAACTCAAACTTTATGTGTGAGGCTTTTTTTTTCCTTATATAATATGCATTTATAAACCAGCTCTGAAAGTTAGATAATCTAAAGTCTTTAAGTTAAAAAAAAAAAAAAGAATATAGCCCTGAAAATGAACTATTTTCTTTCTAACCAAAATTCCAAGTATTTTAAACTTTGTATAAATAACACACACACACAAAAACCCACCATATTTTAGGTATGCTGTCTAAAATGGAGTAGCACTAAAATGACAACAATAATAGACAACCCTTTATACTTAATTGAAAACACTCATTTTTCTTCAAGATATACATTAAGAATTTTCTACTGGCATTTTTGAATAAAATTAATCATTTTAAAAAATCAATTTAATTTCTCCTTTGTATATAAGAATCTAACAACAACAAAAAAGATCTCTTTTATGACTGCAATAGATTTCTGAAATCCCTAAAATATACATTCTTTAGAAAAAAATTCCTAACCCACTGTGCATCTTAGCAGGCTTATATATATGAAAAACAAAATCTATACTATAGCTTACACTTAAATTTAATGCATGACCATAGGTCCCAGGGATTGAAGAATCTTATTGGCAACCAACAAACAGCTCAAGGGATGACAATATTCCTGGCATTTGTAATCTCAAAATTTTAAAAGAAAACTGCTCACGGTAGTCTTAGAAAAATCTGGAGATAGTTCTATTTAAAAAACATACATGCCACAAACAAATACAAGGGAGACAAATAAGAAAATATATTGTGTTAATCTTTGTAAACTTGTTCCATTTCAAAATGTGTTCTAGAGGGTCAGGAAAATTCCCTATACAAATAAAACTAAACATTTGTTCCCTTTGCTTTGAAAAATATTTACAGTACACAGAACAACAAGCTAAAGTATACACCTGCTTATATTGCTGGCCAGTGACATAGATGTGCAAGGACAAAAAGGTGCATATTCAATTATCTGAGCATCTTAATTTGTCTATAGAGTGAAGTTATCATAGATCAACTATGGAAAAATTAGAAAACATTATTTATGAATACCAGCCCTTGTGTAAAACATCACACAAGACGCCAAGGTGTCATACATTCACTATGGTAAAAACTGTACATATGTATTCTGTATATATTTAAAATTTACAATTTTTTAATCTCTCATAATTCTTAGTTGAAAAATGTCTAATTTTCTCTTTTTGGCCAAAGAAAAGTGATGTTAACTGACTGATCAGGTTCCCGAAATATTTTACAAAACTCTTTGCTAAGGACTTTTCATCAATGGTTTTGGCTGGTATCCTCATGAAGAAAACCTCACTAAACTTCGAAAGTAAGCAGGTATTTCCACACTTTTGCTGGCTAATATTGTGATATACATAATAATGATATACGTAACAATAGTCCACAGCAATATGAAATACAAAACTTTGTTCTGTAAGTCTATTCTGGTCTCAGAGTGAAGTTCATTTCTTTCATCCAGTCATGTTGTCCCTTATTTGATCAACTCGAACAGCTAGGTCTCTGAATGAGGGGCGCTGGCTTACATTATTGTTCCAGCATTCTGTCATAATCACATAAATCTGTAAAAGGGAAAATAAACCAAAATTACAATGAACACAAAGTGCCATTTTTTAATTCGTGAAGACATGAATTCGGAACTCCCACTTAATTTTTTTATAGAGGCATATGTCATGGCTATATCTACATCCACAGTCATGTTTATGCTATTTATCTAAAAGTCTAGTGAACTGCATAAACGGACCTGAAATCCTTGGGTAAAAAGAGAAAGAAAATGCATGATTACTGTGGATAAAAAAAATTTTGTTACCTCATCTGGGCATCCATCTGGTCTTGGTAATCTTCCATTATTCTTCAGGAGTTCTATCAAATGAAACACAATCATCTGTCCTTGTTTGTCATTGCCAATCATACGCATAAATTCCTGAAACACAAACCCACTTTTCAATGACATATTTTTGGTACATTTGAAGCAGAATTCTCAATTTCTTCCAGTAAATGGGAAAAATCCCATGTATGTATGTTTCCTTACCTTGAAACTTTTAAAAACAAGACTATTTTAACTTCAAAAACTTCCTTTTCAGTCATACTTCATAAAAGATTGTTAAATGTGGAACCTCTATAATGCCATTTCTGTAACTGTAACACCCTCAACACAAATACCCTGAGAAGAATTCAAAACCAGTGAACTAAAAACACACTGTGTTTGAACACATCATATCACATTTCAGTTGAAATAATAAGTTGAATGTAGAAGAGGACATAAAAAATGCAGAATGAATATTAAAGCATAAATGCAATGGAGAGATGTTCATATGTTTAAAATTCATAAGATTAAAATCTGAACCATAAGGTAGAGGGATATTTACAATGAACATATTTATTTAAATACAGAAAACTCTTGTATATTGGTAAGAAAAATTACCAATATGAAAATGGGCAAAGTACACGAGGATACAATGCACACATGCACATATCCCAAACACCCAATAAATATGTACCCAATCACACTAAAGGCAGAAATGCAAATTAAAATCAAATCGGTACAACTTCTCTCCCATCAATTTGGCAAAACTGCGTGGAAATGTAACAGTCAACACTGACAAATGATAAAATATATAGCTCTATGCACAGTTACTGAGAGTCTAATTGAGATACAGATTTCCTGGAGAGCATTTTGAAATCATCAAAATCTTTTATATAAAAGAGTTCATAATGTTTCACATATAATTACATTTTCACTCTAAGATGACAACCAGAGATAAATATTTATACATAAGGATAGCCACTATGTTCAATGAGTGTTACTTAAAAGGCTGAAAAACGGAAAATGATTGCCCAGAAACTGTATCCTTATGTTGAAACACCACCAAGAAATTAGAAGTCATATTTGTAGTAAATATTTATTAACATAGGAAAATGTCCATGTTATAATCTGTAATGAAAAAGCAGGAAAGCAAACTGTACAGTGTGACTTCTTTTATAAATAAAACAAATAAAATTTAATTTTTACATATAAAATTAAAAGACTCCTGAAAGAAAACATACTACAATATTAAAGTGGTTACCTCTAAGTAGCTGAATTAGAGATTACTTTCATTTTCTTTTCTATACTGTCCTATATTAAAATTATACAATGAATAGAAAAAATATTGCTTTAAAAGGTTTAACATTTGCAATAATTCCCAGGATGAATGAGTTTATTGGATTTACTAAAAATAATATTAAGAGAATATATTAAACTACTACAATCCCCACCTTTTAAAACCTCAAGTTAACTTAATGCGTTAGTTTGGGGGTTATTTTGCTGCTTGTTGTCTTATAAATAACCAATAGGAACTCTAAAATAACCCTAAGTTTACTAATACTCTTTGGAAAAGCTTTTCTCATGTTAAAAAACATTGGAAGTAAACAGAAAGCATACTGACCGCTGGCGGGCTTTTACTCTTCTCAATATACGTGAAGAGTTCATAGAGAACCACTCCGAAGCTCCAAACATCGGAGGCCACGGAAAACTTGCTCTCTGTCAGTGACTCTGGTGCATACCTGTAATATACTTAAAAGCGTTACTTGATGTGCCAACTCTTGATTTTACCTGCAAATCACTGGATTTAAAAACAAAACAAAAAACAAGGTGTAGAGAAAAGGGCTAACACATCAGGCCTGAGTTTGCAATCATCAACAAGGTCTGTTGTTGAATGCTGACACTTGACTGGTACCTGGGATGTTAAGATTCAGGAGGGTTTCCACAATCCCTAAATGACAGAAGTGGCTGACTGCACCTAAACCACTTCCATAGACAATGTGAGTCTAGAGTTTTGGTATATGCCAGACAGAAAATATCTACATGGGTCAGTTCCAATAAAAACTGTGGGCACTGAGTCTCTATTAAGCTTCCTTAGTAGATGACATTTCACACATGTAGTCAGAATTTATTGCTGGGGGAATTAAGTGTGTCCCATCTGACTTTACTGGGAGAGGACACTTGAAAACATGTGCTTGGTTTCCTCTAGGCATTGCACAGAGTCTTTTCCTTTTGCTGATTTTGCTTTCCAACCTTCCTCTGTAAGAGTCATAGTTATGCTTATGACAGTATGCTGAGTCCTATGAGTCCTTCCAGTGATGATCAAACCTGAGGGTGGTCTTGGGAACCACAACACACAAAGATAACTAAAAGCCAAGAAAAAAAAAATTAATTTTGTCTCCTTAACACCAGGGTTAATTGCACAGTACTTTCAAAGAAAAAAAAAAAAAAAAGCTGATCTTTCCAAGTTAAGCTTAAAATAAATCCAGGTAAGTATCCTAGGGGGGGCTTCCCTGGTGGCCCAGATGGTAAAGGATCTGCCTGCAATGCAGGAGGATAGGGTCCCTGAGTTGGGAAGATTCCCTGGAGGAGGACATGTCAATCCATTTCAGTATTCTTGCTCGGAAAATCCCATGGACAGAGGAGCCTGGCAGGCTGCAGTCCATAAGGTCAAAGAGAGTCAGACACAACTGAAGTGACTTGGCATGCATGCAAGTATCCTAGAGAAAAAAGTGCCTTTTAAGCTAAGACTTGAAGCTATTAACATATAAAACAAATAACTGTTAATCTGAAAGGGGGTGATTAAAAGAGGGAACATAGAAAATAGAAAGTCACAGGGGAAAATGGTTGTCATTCTTTCCCTCAAGTATTAACACTACCCAAGGGAGAATTTTGACCAATGGATTATGAACATCATGGTCCACAACGTTTATATTCTGTTTATATTCATTAGCGAGAATAATGAAAGATCTGTTTTAAACTGGGATTTAAAATATAAATTATATAAACTGAATCTCTCCTTCAAAATATCCTTCTCTCCTTCAGCCTATGGTTTCTCACTTCCAGAAAGCCTCCTCTAACTAGTTAAGGTCTTAATGACCTCATGCTACTGAATTTCTACAGTACTTTCAGTCTGTACTACACAACCATGTAATGCTCTATTATTTTTATATTTATTTTAAAAATTTACATATTTAGTTATGTTATGCTAGTTTATCCCACAAATGGAATATAACCTCCTTGAAGAGTACTACTCCCTCAACCTTTGCAAAATATTCTCTTCCTTTGGTTTTCATGAAAGCACTCTAATTTCTCCCTTCATTTTCACATTACATATGTAAGGATAAATACAAAGGAAAAAAGAAGCCCATGTAGAAAAGGAGGGAAAAGACTCTCTCATTTACTTTAGAAAATTTAGAATTGTGAATTCTCTCTTTGAAATGTATGTAAAAATCTTTTTAAAGGCTTTTGCTTAAAAGCCTCTTGCCAGGTTTACATATAGCAATGTCTTTCTCAAGAACCTGGAAACCACCTCTTCAGAATGCAGTTATCAAGGAAGATCATGCCCCTACATCCAAGTTTAAGTAGGGGGCGGGGGTAGGAGCCTAACTTGGGCTGGTGCCTCCTGCAAGTTGCAAAACTATCTCCTATCATAAAGGTATGAGAAGTTTATTTTTCCTTTGGATAAAGCCAATTAGCTAACACAAATGGGAACTCCTATTACTAAGTGAATTTAGGACGAACTTACGTGTGACAGATGATGCTGTCAAGTCCTCTTACTTTAGGACTAGTTACTGTTTATCCTGAGAACATATATGAAATGAGTTGAAATGGCTTGGCCATATCCAAGAGTGAGATTTCTTTCTGTTTTTCTGCAATCTCTTAGCAGATTGCTTATGATGCATATTACCTTCTGGATTAATGTTTATTCAGTAATGAAACTGTTTTCTTTCTATTTTGGGGGAGAGGCCTTCTGGGTTGAGAGGAGATTTGTTTTTAATAACATTTACCCAGCACGTTCCCTCCTTTTCTCCATTCTCTAAAGTTGGGTTTCCCCAAGTTCCATCATTAGAGCTTTTCCTCTCTTTCAAAAACTTTCCCTTAGATAGTGTCATCCACTTACACACTCAGGTCTCCCAAATTTACAGCCACTTTATCTTTGATGCTTCTTTTGTGTTTCAGACTTACTGAAAATTTACGCGTTAAAGTTCCATGGGCAAAAAGAAATCCAGCCAACCTGTACAAGATTATTTTACCTTCTCTGTGCAATCAATGAATGGCATCAAATCTATCTAACTCCCTAAACTGAAAATCTTAAGAATTATCTTTGACTCATCTTTCACTCCAAAGTCTACTGAGTCACTAAGTTTCTTTAGTATGTCTTAGATATGTCTCTTATCAGCCTCCCAATCCAATACTGCCATTACAGTCTTCAGTTAGATCCTTATCTCATGACTAGTACAGAGATCTTCAAACCAGGTGAGGAGTAAGCAGAAAAACATACAAATATTTTCCAAGGGGCTCTATAGCAAGAACAGTATAAGGATTCTCCATTAATTCAAAACCATGCTTTAATAATTTAAAAAAAAAATGTCAGCAGAAGCATTTTCTCTTAGTTCTTAATACAAAGAAGAACCTACAGGGCAAGCTGGAAGCTAAACAACACTTTTGAACAATAAAAGCAATGTAGATGACAATGATTCTTTTAAATGAAATTACATATTTTAAAAAATATGGTGGCTAAATCCTATGGATAAAAATTATGATTTCTTTCAAACTTTACATGTAGTGTTTGCTTTTCAATAAGTCAGTTAAAATATATTCTATCAACTCCTTCTGAAATATTTATATAAAAATTAGTTGACCTCATTTACTTATATAAAACACTTAGTATTTTTACTTGCTACTATGAAAATAAAACAATATGCTAACTATCTGATTTGTTTCTAGAAGTATATAGCTTTCTTTTTCATTAAATACATAAAATTTTGATCATGATGACAATGATACGGTTTCTGATTTTTATACAAGCTTCTTATTAGTGAATCCCCAAAGTCAAACATCAGGCTTCCCAGGTGGTAAATCCACCTATCAATGCAGGAGATGCAAGAGACATGGGCTGGATCACTGGGTGGGGAAGATATGCTCGAGAAGGAAATGGAAACTCACTACAGTATTCTTGCCTGGAAAATCCCTGGTGAATTACAGTCTACGGGTTGCAAAGAGTTGACGCGACTGAGCAGCCCAAAGTCAAACATCAGAGTTCAATTTCCCTAAAACATTTATTTACTGAAGGAGTAACAGGCCTTTTACCATATGCCTTACTTCATAAAACATAATCTTAACTATATTTTATTCTGTACTATGTATTGTAAATTTAAGTAATGAGAAGCAATTCATCTTAATTATTTAATAATGAAATTTTTTACTAAATATGTATCATCTTAAGCTTATCCTGCCCTGGAGGAGGGCACGGCAACACACTCCACTATCCTCACCTGGAGAATACCACAGACAGAGGAGCCTGCAGTCCTCCTCTGGACAGGAAGGCTACAGTCCATGAGGTTGCAGAGAGTCGGACACAACTGAAGCGACTTAGCATGCATGCACGCACATAAGCTTATCCTGACTTCCTTTGTGATTAATCTTTCCAGATATTCAGGAAGAAATACAGGGCCCAAAGCTTTAGGGACTTTCTTTATGATAAGAATATAAAGTTAGGTATGAAAGTGAATATTTAAAATTAGAAAAGAAAGAATCTCAAAAGGAAGGAACTCTGACATATATGCTTTGTTAGCTTCATTGTAAACATGTCTCTCTGCACATGTGTTCTATAGTTTATGATTTTTTTAAAAAGAGTATTTCATAACATTAATTACTTGAACTGAAAAATGAACTAAGGTTTTTTCTGTCAGAAAATAAGTGTATTTGTTTATGAGGACTGGTATTGCTAAACAGACTGAATGAAGGACATTCTTCATTAAGTGACTCAATCTTTGAGATAGTGCAAGGGATTGTCATATTTAAATCATGTATTTAAAAATGATAAAATGTTATTTAAAATACTGTATTGAAATTAATAATATTGTTTTTTAACTTTTATAAATGTATATACAAGATGCCTCTACATGAGAGTAATACCATGGTTTGAATTAATTTGAAAAAAATTTTTTGGCATATTTCCCGGAAACTGAGAAAATGAAAGACCCTAATGACTGGGTAGTAAATCCACTTTTGAAAATCAAGTGGGTTTAATTCTTTGTTTTCTATGAAACTGAAAACAGAATAGATCTAATGAAACTGCCAGCTAACAAATTCTATTGGTAGATCACTGTATCCTGTTTTGCTTATCACAAGTCACAAACGTGAATGACATTGTTTATAACAAAACTCCTTCCATTCCCATCTCATTTATACAAAAAAGTTTTCTCTGTGTTTACAAAAACAAAAATAAACTTGGAATTTACGTTGAATCTGGTCCTGTTATACAAGTAAATAATATTTATCTAAGGCTATATGGACTAGTTGGAGAGGGGGAAAAAACCCTCCACATCTCATTAAGAAATGATTGCAATAAAAATTTTTAAAGAACTATTCAAATTACTAATCTAAATTAATAATTCATTTATATTGCATTGGAAATTGCACCCTGGCAGTAACTGCAATGATAATTCAATCCAGAAGAAAAAAAATGAAAAGTTTGGTGGTCACAGGAATTTTAAAATTAATTCAATTTATATATGTATTTTGGTTACAAAGGAGATTATCAAGATATATTCCAAGTGCAAAATAAAATACATTATGCAGAATTCTGAGAAGGGAGGTGTAAACATAATTTTAAAGAGAAAAAGGAATAACAAAAAGTTTATATCAAAAAGAAAGTCTCTTCCTATACCTTTTTAAGTGGGTGACAATCGGTATCAAGTTGCTGTGGCATTTGGATTTTACTGTATACCTCTAAAGGATTGATATGTCTTATATTAATGTCATTATTTATAATACTTTACAAAATATTTACAACCAAATAAAATTTTTAAATGTTTCATAAAGAATACAGTTTTTGATAATTCTTTCAAATGAGTATATATGCACAAAGGGTTTCAAAATCAATGACCTAGATACCTGAAAAAGTTGTCTAACTAGTCCTCTCTGCTGTTAGCCTCTCCTTAATATAATGTACCTGCTATACCTCCAGTTCTGGTGTGAAGTCCCTGATACACTAAAAAATTACGGACGTGCCCCCAAAGCTTTTGTTTATGTGGGTTGTATCTACTAATATTTACCATATTAGATTTCGAAACCAAGGAGACGTAAAAGTATCATTAAAAATAACAATAAACCCAGTAATACTAGCATAAATAATATTTTTATAAAAAATAACTATTTTCCAAAACAACAAATTTTGTATTTAGAGTAGTATGTTTTACATTGTTGTTTCTTTAATGTTGGTTTAATACACCTTTTTTGCACCTGATTTTTAGAAAACTTTTATATGATTTTTAAAGGTTATATACCATTTACAAAATATTAGCTATATTCTCCATGTTGAACAAATATATCCCTGTACCCTATCTTACATCCAGTAGTTTGTACCTCCCATTTGGCCACCCCCATAATGCCCCTTCCTACTTGAACCACTAGTTTACTCTATCTGTGAGTCTGCTTCTTTTTTTGTTATATTCACTAGTTTGTTGTATTTTTGATTCCAAATACAAGTGATATCATACAGTATTTATCTTTCTCTGTCTGACCCTCTAAGTTGACCCATGTTGTTACAAATGACAAAATTTCATTTTTTTTAAGGCTAAGTAGTATTCCACTGTAAGTGTATGTACATACAGTTCCATCATGTGTGTATCTATCTGTATACATAAAAGAGATTCATTTCAGAGGTAAAAACACACACAGACTAGATGGAAGGAAAAATATATTTATAAATACACATTTATACATATATAGGAGCACCAAAATATATAAAGCAAATATTATCAGACCTAAAGGGAGAAATTAAAAGCAATACAATAACAACAGTAGGGGACTTTAGCACCCCACTTACAGCAGTGGATAGATAATTCACAGAAAAATTAATAAGGAAACAGCTGGCCTTAAATGACATATTAGATGAGATGGAGTTCAAAGGTATGTACAGGATACTCATTCTTCTAAGCTGCACATGGAACATTCCAAGATAGATCACATATTAAGCCACAAGTTGTCTCAATAATTCAAGAAGACTGAAATCATATCAAGCATCTTTTCCAACTATAATGGTATAAAATCAGAGATCACAATAAGAAAATTGGAACACCACAAAATATGAAGATTAAACAATATGCCGGGGCTTCCCTGGTGGTCCCGTGTTAAGAATCCACCTTGCAATACAGCGACCCTGGCTCAGCTCCCCGTCTGGGAAGGCTGCCTCCGCCACGGGACAACTGGGCCCATGTGCCACAGCTCTGGAGTCTGCGCTCTGCTGCCGACCAGCTGCAGCTGCCGAGCCATGTAGAGCTACTGCAGCCTGCACACCCGAGAGCCCGTGCTAGCCAGCAAGAGAAGCCACCACGATAGAAGCCAGGGCTCTGCAGTTAGAAAACAGCCCCTGCTAGCCACAACTAGGGAAAGCCGGTGCATAGCAACAAAGATCCAGTGCAGCCAAAAATAATAAACATAAAGTTTAAAAAATAAACAACATGCTACTAAACAACTAATAGGTCAATGAAGAAATCAAAAGAGAAAAATAAAATCCAAAGACAAATGAAAACAGAAATAAAGCACACCAGAATCTACTGAATGCACCAAAAGTAGCTCTAGGAAGGAAGCTCACAATACAGGCCTACCTCAAGAAACAATAAAAATCTCACAAATAATCTGAATTTACACCTAAAGTAACCAGAAAAAGATCAAAGTCCAAAGTTATTAGAAGGAAGGAAATAACAAAGATGAGGGCAGAAATAAAGACTGAAAATGGCAGAAAGTGAACTCAAGAGCCTCTTGATGAAGGTGGCTTAAAACTCAACATTCAAAAAACTAAGATCATGGCATCTGATCCCATCACTTCATGGGAAATAGATGGTAAAACAATGGAAACAGTGACAGAATTTATTTTCTTAGGCTCCAAGATCACTGGATGGTGACTGCAGCCATGGTATTAAAAGATGCTTGCTCTTTGGAAGAAAAGCTATGACCAACCTAGAAAACTATTAAAGTGCTGCACTCAATATGTCAGCAAGTTTGAAAAACTCAGCAGTGGCCACAGGACAGGAAAAAGTTGATCTTCATCCCAATTCCCAAGAAGCGGAGTACTAAAGAATGCTCAAACTACCAGACAATTGCACTCATTTCCCATGCTAGTAATGTTATGCTCAAAATCCCCTAAGCTAGGCTTCAGCACTACATGAACCGAGAACTTCCAGATGTTCAAGCAAGAACAAGCAGGAGATCAAGTTGGAGAACAACTTGGAGATCAAGTTGCCAACATTCACTGGATCAAAGAGAAAGCAAGGCAATTCCAGAAAAATATCTACCTGTTTCACTGACTATGCTAAAGTCTGTGACAGTGTGGATCACAAAAAACTGGAAAATTCTTAAAAAGATGATAATACCAGACCATCTTACCTGTCTCCTGAGAAACATGTATGCCAGTCAAGAAGCAACAGCTAGAACCTTATATGGAACAACTGACTGGTTCAAAATTGAGAGACGAGTATGTAAAGGCTGTTTACTGTCACCCTGTTAACTTATACACAGAGCACATTATGCGATATGCTGGGCTGGATGAGTTACAAGCTGTAATCAAGACTGCCGGGAGAAATAACTTCAGATATGCAGATGATACCATTTTAGTGGCAGAAAGCAAAGAGGAACTAAAGAACCTCTAAAGGGGAGAATGAAAAAGCTGGTTTAAAACTCAATATTACAAAGCCAAGAGCACAGCATCTGATCCCATCACTTCATGGCAAATAGAGAAGGGGAAAACGTGGAAGCAGTGACAGATTTCCTCTTCTTGGGCTCTAATATCACTGTGGATGGTGATTGCAGCCACGAAATTAGAAGATGCTTGCTTTTTGGAAGAAAGCTATAACAAACCTAGACAGTATATTAAAAAGGAAGGACATCGGTTTGCTGACTAAGGTCCGTATAGTCAAGGCTATGGTCTTTCCAGTAGTCATGTATGGATGTGAGAACTGGACCATAAGGAAGGCAGAGTGCCAAAGTACTGATGCTTTCAAACTGTGGTGCTGGAAAAGACTCTTTTGAGAGTCCGGTGGACAGCAAGGAGACCAAACCAGTCAATCTTAAAGCAGAGGGATCAAAATCAGTCAATCAACTCTGAATACTCACTGGAAGGACTGAGGCTAAAGCTGAAGCTCCAGTATTTTGGTCACCTGATGCAAACAGCTGACTCATTGGAAAAGTCCCTGAAGCTAGGAAAGATTGAGGGCAGAAGGAGAAGAGGGCATCAGAGGAGGAGACAGCTGGATGGCATCACCAATACAATCGACATGAACTTGGGCAAACTCCGGGAGATGGTGAAGGACAGGGAGGCCTGGTGTGCTACAGTCCACGGGGTCGCAAAGAGTCAGACACAATGTGGCTACTGAACAACAACAGCACTCAAAGCAATCTACAGATCTAATGCAATTCTTATCAAAATTCCAATGGCATATTTCACAGAACTAGAAAAAATTCTAAAATTTGTATGAAACTACAAAAGATCCTTTGAGAAAGGGAACAACCTTGATAAAGAACAAAGCTGGAGGTAGCATGGCGAAAAGGAGAGTTCTTCAATAAACGGTGTTGAGAAAACTGGGCAGATACATGGAAAAGAATGAAATTAGACCATTACCTTATTGACAATTAACATCAAAACAGATTAAAAACTTGAATGTTTGACCTAAAACCATAAAATTCCCAGAGAAAAACATAGGGAGTAGCTTCATTGATTACTGTTATAAATATACAAATGACAAACTACTAAAAATAAAAATAAAGTTTGAAGTCTGTGCTCCAAAACTTCATTTTACGGTACTAAAACATACTCACCAGAATATGGGACTTTCCCCAGGCTCTTTCACTTTGTAGTACTCTTTGTCTTGTGGCAAGACTTTGGTTAATCCAAAATCTCCTATTTTAACTCTGTTTTCATTCTCCACTAGTATATTCCTTGTTGCCAGATCCCTGTGAATATACCTTTTTGTACCAAGATACTCCATACCCTATGGATAAAATAATATTATTCTTTCAGCCAGCTTTATAAACATAAACAATTTAGGCTTCTGCTTACCTACTCCCTTAAGTATCTAAGGAAAATTCTAGAGAAAATAGAAAAAATTATTTCTTAATAATTACTTCAACGTATTCTCTTTATTTGGGCTTCCCTGGTAGCTCAGATGGTAAAGAATCCACCTGTGATACAGGAGACCTAGGTTTGATCCTTGGGTCAGGAAGATCCCCTGGAGAAGGGAATGGCTACCCACTCCAATATTCTTGCCTAGAGAAACCCATGAACAAAGGAGTCTGGCGGGCTATAGTTCATGGGATTGCAAAAGAGTCAGACGTGATTGAACAACTAAGCACAAACTCTTCATTTACAACAAATAGCCAGGATATCAGGTACCTTGCATATCTGAGATGTGTACTGCAGAAGTTTTTTATGATCTATCCGTTCTTTATGTTTTTGGAGATAGTCTCGTAAACTTCCATATGGTAAATACTCCATAATTAATCTTAGATTATGCCGGCCTATTAACACACAAATGAGAATGTAATGTTTTATTCTGCCATGTTTTATTGATGAACTAATATAAGACAACTGTATGTGAGTCTAAGATGACAAAACCTGATTATAAATTAAAAGTCATGTGGTAGTTAGGAACACTAACTTTCTGATTCAAAATGGTCTGAACAGAAAGTTTTAGAAATACTTATGCTTTAATCTCCTGTAACCATTTATGCAAATCAAAATAAGCTGATGCAAAAACTTACTTTCTCTTCCTCTATACTGAATAAAAAGGATCTAATTAAAAAATAATATTTTCATAGAAAATATGAACAATTTCTTTCTTTAGAAATGATATTCCCTTGGTACGCTAAAGCAAAAATGGCAACCACCATCCTCAGTGAAAAGAATGATCAGCCAAGTAATCAAGGATTTCCTATAGTCACAGCCCACCAACACCAAACACAATCTCCAGCCATACAGAATGTTTCCTTCTCTAGACACTGGAATATTTTAAGTCCAGATCTTGAGACATCATATGTTTCTATTACCCAGTATGCCAAAGACATATCCTAAGTTCAAAAAAAGTATCAATGGGCAACATACCAGCACTATAGCAGACTCCTTTGTACTTTACAATGTTGTCATGCTGCAAGGATTTAAGGATTTCAATTTCTCTTTCGAAGTCTCTGAGGTGCTCTTCAGTACTGTGCTGGAGCTTTTTCACAGCCACCACCTCCCCAGTATTGTCTTGTAGAGGGTCATACCGGCACATCTCCACACTCCCAAAATTACCCTTAAACAACACATATCACATTAAGATAGAAATCTCAAGTTTTCTAGAAAAATTACTAATTCTGATTATATAGATCATAAACATTATTTTTTAAGATAAGCCAAAGGACATGCCAAGGAATTTCTAAATTTCTGTCACTAACTTCCAGGAAGAGCTTTTCTTTTTCACAATATAGACTTTGATATCCCTGTCAGTGAGCTTCATGGAATAAGGGTCTGTTATGGACTGAATGTCCATGCCCCATCCCCTCAAATTTGTATGATAAAGCCCTAACCCCAGGGTGAGTGCTTTTGGAGACAGGGCCTCTGAAGAGGTAATAAAGGTTAAATAAGGTCATAAGAGTGAGGCCTTCATCCTGTAAGACTAGTGCCATTACAAGAAGAAGAGATACCAGTGCTCTGTGCCACATGAGGACATAGTGAGAAAGTTGCCAGGTAGCAAGCTAAGCAGAGTCTTCACCAGAAAACCAAACCCTACTGGAACCTTGATCTTAAGACTTATCTTGAGAACTTTGAGAAAAAAATGTCTGCTGCTTAAGCCAAGGTCATGCTGTGTCATTGGTAGCTTCTGTGATTATCTCCCAATATTCTCTACATTCTGATATTCAAGCTCTTTTAAAATCCCCTTCCTTTGAGTGTAGGCTATAAACTCAGTTATAGTGAACATTGACTGAAAGTGAAAGAGAGTGAAAGACTGAAGGCAGGAGGAGAAGGGGACGACAGAGGATGAGATGGTTAGATGGCATCACCGACTCGATGGACATGAGTTTGAGCAAGCTCTGGGAGTTGGTGATGGACAGGGAAGCCTGGAGTGCTACAGTCCATGGGGTCACATAGAGTTGGACACGACTGAGCAACTGAACTGAACTGACAGTGAACAGAATATGGCAAGAGTAAGAAGATGCCACGCCTGAGCCAAGGCTATAAAAAGACTATGGCTTCGATCCTGGGTGTTTGCTCTCAGCGCCCATGTTGTGAGGCAGCCTGTGGAGAGGCCCATGTAAGTGAGCTAGCAAGCAGATATTCTGAGGCCCATCAATAGCCATGTGACAAGCTTGAAAATAAGTCTTTCCCTAGTTAAGCTTTCAAATGAAACTGCAAGACATGGCTGACACCTTGATTGCAGTCTTTTGAGAGACCCTGTGCTAGAATCATCCAGCTAAGTTGCTCCTAGATTCCTGACTCACCTAATAAATGTTGTTTTTTTTTCAGCTGTTAAGTTTTAGGGTAATTTGTTGAAGAGCAACAGATAATGAATATACCAAATACCTAGACTTTTTTTTTGTCATTGCTACACTCTCTGAAACATTCTCAAGAATATTTTACAAAAGATGACATCAAAGTATTAATAAAACTAAGCCAATGTATAATATAACCCCCAATGTTTAGCTCTGGTAAAACTGGATCAGAACATTTAGTTTAGATTCAATGCCTATGTGAGGCCTTCACATTGCATCCATGCCAAAAATCCAGTTCATAAGGCCACATGGTACAGAACCCTATACTACCCAGCTTAGAGGAAGAATGAGGGCTTACCACTATGACTGGACCAACTAAGAAGTAAGCCTTTTCTATCTCATTTAAAATATAGGTTGGTGCAAAAGTAATTGTGGTTTTGCATTGAACTCTGCTGTTTGATACTGGAATACATTCTTAAACCAATGTGATTATGTTACACATCATTTTAATGCACATTTCTCACTTTATGGCATTTTGCTAATGACTTATTACTTGCTGTTTATTTTATATTTTAGACTAGGGAAATGATGTTAGACAAAAAACGAATTTGAGCAATTCAAAATGGGTCATAATGCAGAGTAGACAATTCTCAACATCAACAATGCATTTGGCCCAGGAACTGCTAACAAATGTACAGTGCAGTGGTGGTTCAAGAAGTTTTGCAAAGGAGTTGAGAGTCTTGACAATGAGGAGCACAGTGGCTGGTCATCGGAAGTTGACAACGACCAATTCAGAGGATCATCAAAGCTGATCCTCTTACAACTACACAAAAAGTTGCCAAAGAACATGCTATGGTCATTCAACATTTGAGGCAAACTGGAAAGGTGAAAAGGCTGGGTGCCTCATGGGCTAACCACAAATCAAAAAAATCATCGTTTTGAAGTGTTGTCTTCTCTTATTCTATGCTACAATGAACCATTTCTCCATCTGATTGTGACATGCAATGAAAAGTGTATTCTATACAACCAGTGACAACTAGCTCAGTGGCGGGACTGAGAAGAAGCTCCAAAGCACTTCCCAAAGCCAAACTTTGGGAGGTTTGGCAAAAGGTTTTGACAAAAAAGGTCATGATCACTGTTTGATGATCTGCTGCCTGTCTGATCCACTATAGTTTTCTGAACCCTGGCAAAACCACTCCATCTGAGAAGTATGCCCAGCAAATTGATGAGATGCACCTAAAACTGCAGTGCTTGAAGCCAGCACTAGTCAACAGAAACAGCCCAATTCTTCTCCATGACGATACTCAACCGCACACAACAAATGCTTGAAAAGTTGAATGAATCATGCTACAAAGTTCTGCCTCATTCTCCATATTCAGCTGACATCTCACCAACTGACTACCACTTCTTTAAGCATCTCAACGATTTTTTGCAGGGAAAATGCATTCCAAAAAGTCAGTCGAATCCTGAAGCACAGATTTTTATGCTATAGGAATAAACAAACTTATTTCTCATTGGCAAAAATGTGCTGATTGTAATGGTTCCTTTTTTGATTAATAAAGATGTGTTTGAGCCTAGTTATAATGGCTTCAAATTCACGGTCTGAAACTACAATAACTTTTTTACCAGCCTAATATGTGGGCTATGCCTGACTGTGTGACCTTTCAGCAGAGAGAAACTGTCTGCTAGTAAACATGCCTTCTCCAGTCAACATCTAAACTCTGAATGAGCAAGCAGATTAATTATTTCTCCCTTAGGTGACTAAAAAGGGAGGCAGGTGGAAAGGCTTATTAATTGTTCTTTTCTCTATCTCATAAAGTGCCCTCTACCAAGAAAGAATCTCATGGTCAAATTAATTGGGAAAAATATAGCTTAATTTATCCTCCTCTTGAAAATGTTCAATGCACAGTGCATGTTAAAGGTTCCAACAAATTTTTCAGTAAAGACAACTATTTAACACAGCATTTCCCCAAAACCTGAAAACTAAACCTTTTTTCTACAAACACCTTTTAAAAAACTTTTTATTTTATATTGAAGTATAGTTGATTAATAATGCTGTGCTAGTTTTAGGTGTAGAGCAAAGTGATTCAGTTACACATATACACGTATCTGTTCTTTTTTCAAATTCTTTTCTCATTTAGGTTGTTATAAAATATTGAGCCGAGTTTCTTGTGTTATATAGTAGGTACTTGCTGGTTATACAAACACTCTAAAACTCTGTGGAAAGTGAACTTTTGAGAATCTCTTAAGTCTTTTCTCCCCTAAATAAAATGTTTTATGATACACTTCAATTATTTAAAAATCTGACACCTTACCTTGCCAAGTTGCTGTAGAAATTTCAAGTGTCTTTCTTCAAATTGTGCAGGGTCTCGGTCTTCAAAAGCACCAGAAAACCCTAGGGCACCTATTCTCATATTTGGTAACATGTCATTTTCTGTTAATAGCTCATAATCTGGAGAAATAAATAACATTTCTATCATAATCTGGCAAATCTACTCTCTGGGTTAAAATTATTCTTATTCAGGCTGACCAAAATAATCATAATGAGTTAGACACACTAAATACAAATTGATACAAGGCAACTCTGAATGTTTAGATTGTTAATGGAAGCCTTGAATCATAACTGGACAGGTTTTTGGTAAAGATTTTTGCAAAGGATAAATGAATACTTTCCAAAATAGGCAGTTTTAATATTTATAAAGTAAGTTTGTATGCCGATTTTTGTGACAAGAACAGCAAGTAGTTTTGGAACAGAAAATATTTATGGGTCAGACACATGTATATTTAGCTAAGTTTTTTAAGAAGGAGAGGACAAACAAAAATCTACTTCATGTTTAGAAAATTAATCAGCGATATGTGAGAGCTAGTTTAAAAAACAATGAATTGTTTATAAAAAATCAAATAAGTTTCTCAGCGTACTACTCATTAACTGGCAACTAAAGTGAGGTTTTTAAAAGGGTAAAAGCCTTTTATGAAAATACTTCACAATCAATGAGACTAGAATACGTATAAGGTAGAAAAAGTCATATGAATGTAAGAAATTAAAACGGTCTAAAAGATATCAGGGAACTTCCCAGAGGGGGACTACAAAATTAGTAAGGATTTATTAAATACATCATTAAGATTGCTCCAACAGTACATACCTGGAGTGAACAAACTATTAAGATCTCTTATAATGGCTCTGAAAGAAGGTCTAAAATCTGGTTCATAATCCATGCAATTATTAATAAGATTTGCTAATTCTGTCCACTTTGGTGCAGGAAGCTGGTGCCTATCTTCATAAAACTGTAGTTTCTATAATGAAAGAACCACATGTTGAGAATAAATTATAAATGCCGTATCAACCTTCTTTTTAACATAAAATGGGCTAAAGAATATCAAATAATGTGAAAGAAGTATTAGGGATCACAAAATAATTACAACTTCACTGTTTATATAAACTTACTCTTTGAGAATCCAAAGCACTCAGAGGCTTATCTCCTCCACTACAGATTTCCCACAATGTGGTACCAAAACTCCATTTGTCTGTTGCCAGGTTTAGATTTTTAGGATTTTCAATGCATTCAGGTGGTACCCATGGTATTCTCTCCTGCAGGACTTTTAAATGACAGTAAAAAAAAAATGCTTAAATAACTCCCTTAATAAAACAATTCTTATATATGTTAATAATTTCACAAAAATTGGAATAATCAAATCATTTTAATTTGCTTGGGGGAAGGGGTATGTTCATGCATATACACATGCTTGAGGGCCAGAAGGGACCTTTGAGATCACCTAATTCAATATCTCAGCTTTAACAATGCCAACATTAAGACCCATAGTGACTGAATAATTTGCCCGAAGTTATACAATTTGTTAATAGCACAGAATTAGTTACTGTACAATGACTCCTGGATTGACTAAATTTTTCATTAAACCACAGTGTTTCAACTACTGCCCCATTCTCTCTACCCTTTCCTAATAGCTATGCATTCACAATATTTTTTTTTCCCACAAAATTTTTCCCAAATTGCTCCTTTATGTATTTTTTCTTTACAATGTATAAATAATAAAGGTAATGTTAGCATCAGTTCAATCTGTACGAATGACTCAACAGCAGTGACCACTCTAACTTGCAGATGAAAAACAAGGGCCAACAGGCCAATGAATGATTAGATTATACCAAGGTATTCTTAGCACAATATTGATATACACAGGTTCTGCTCAGACCATGGAATCTTCCAAGTTAATTTTTTGATGTCTTTGATCCCATCCGAAAAATGGTATTCACAAAAGGAGGGAACACTTTAACTTTACCTTCTGGTATTCTGGCATAGACAGAATGATAGAAGATAGATATATATAAGTAAACAGGTATGTAAATAAGTAAATAAATAAATAAGAATGATAAACTGTTGCATCTTTTGGTATATTTTGGTAAAGCAATGTGAATATTTCTGGTGCATAATTAAGAGATTTAACAGTACAGAGTCCTATCTCCTTCATACGAATATATATTCTCTTTCTTCACGTTCTACTCCAAAGGGTAAAATCCCCAAGTATCAGATCTAAATTCCTATGATATTTTCTGCCCTATAGTCCTTGTCCTCACTGTCATATAAAGGTACAGAGCTCAACTACTATTAGCTCAAAAAAGAAACTATGCATCAATGTACAAAAGTTGATAAATCTGGATTCAAAATGTAGAGCATTCAATTCGAGAAATTAGCTAATTCAATAAAACACAATTACAACACTATTTAGGCCAAAAAAAAAAACTCCTCTGACTGAAATTTTTACTTTGTTAAGGATGTTATCAAACACGAAAGAAAAGTTTTAAGAAGTCATATAGCTGAATATGTCTGAATTTAAGAAGTCAATATATAGCTGAATTTAAGAAGTCAATTAGCTGAATAATTAAACAAAATAAAAATTTTAAACTAGAAATATTTCTTCTCAAATTTTTATTTAATAACTAAAGAGAATAAAAATTTAGAAAATTTACTTGTGATTCAAAGAATGATATTAAAAAAATTCCACAATAAAATTGGATAAAACCTGACATTTCATACTTAATTAGGGATTAAAACTGCTTCAAAAAATCACTTTACAGTTCATGGAAACATAAGAAAGGAGAAATAGACAAGAATCTAAGATGTAACTATAATTTAGGTTGCTGAAAATGGTAACTAAATTTTATTATTAAGCAAGAATGTCAATAAAATAGTGTTTGAGAAAAATTAACAGCATGATTTTTATGCCTCTTTCCAAGCAAAGCTTAATAAAGTTAAACTTGATTCTTGTAGAACTTACTGTCTTTTGGCAAAACTGTAATACTAATGCCAGGATCACTAAGTTTGATGAAAGGAGGATTTCCTGTCTTCCTGTCTTCTTCTCTGATAAGAAGAATATTTTTGGCGCACACATTCCCATGAATAAGGGTTTTTTCTTCCTATTAAAGTTAATTGCATAAACATTCAAATATTAATCCACAAATATTTGAGCACTTAGTATGTCCAGGGCCCCCAAATGGATTTAAAAAACAAAAATTAAGTAAACATTAATTTGGAGGTACACTTTGAGAAAATAAAAGGAAATCTTATAGCAGCACTGTGCTTCCTATTTTACATTTTAAACAAAATAATAATCTATACCCATGATGAAACAAATACTTAGTTTTATCATTTTTATAGGCTATTTTATTTGATTATCAATTTATTTTTTGCCACACTCAGCAGCATATGGGATCTTAGTGCCCTGACCAGAGATTGGACCTGTACCCCTGCTTGGAAGTATAAAGTCTTAACCACTGGACTGCCAGGGAAGTCTCCGAAAAATTAATATTTTTTAAAACTACTTTATGCCAGTTCACTTATGAATCTGAGGTTTTAAACTATGTATTTGTAGATAGCAGCTGACACAAGAAATATTGTTTCTGTTCAGTAGGTGCACTCTAAAGAATCTGATCACTGGCTGGCCCTCTAGTATTTTGCTTTTCTCTCAGTGGACATAATTTCCAATTACCCACAAATATCGTAACAAGGCACTTTCTACAGGATTTTTATGTTGTCCATAGCTCATTTTCTTTTTGATAATATTTCATTCAATTCTTTAAAGTCAAGGTACACAAACTACAGATTATCCTTCAGCAGTTCTAAGAGATTGATGGAATGGGAATACTACTTGTTTCAAAATTTATTTCACATAAATATACACCTAAAATAATCCCTTTCCTCAAATGACACAGATTATTTTAAATAACTCAGCATCTATAGACTTACTTCTTGTTCCCAGGTCAAGATCCTTTCATACTGCTTCATAATGTAAAACAGTAAGTTGATAAAAGAATATATTACTTACTAGAAAATGCATGGCCCATGCCAACTGTTTAGCCACTTCAAGTTTCCATAATATATTTATAGAATTTTTATTCTTTTTCAGATATGTATCTAGTGATCCAAATTTTACAAATTCCTGAACCAGAATATCTGCATTAAAATATAATAATAATAAGGCTAAAGTATAATACAATGAAAAATACATAAACTTAAATTTTTATAAATACATTTATAGTTATATGTATTATAGGTAAAGAGATTAAATTACATGAAATTCAATAATTTAAAGAAAGCATAACAGGTATATACCACTGTATTTTGGGGTTTTAGTTTATTCACAACACTAAGAGGTGGAAGTCTAAATAATTATATATAAACACAATATCATATATAGAATGAATCTCAAATCATGACTCTGCTTCAACTAATATTAAAATTAGTTTTCATATGTATATACAATTTTTGGTGACAAAAGTCACCTTTGGATCTTGCTGGGTGACTAAAACAAATGTTATGTTTTGCTGCCATGGTTAATTTGGAGAATAATCCATACATCAGTAATGAAGAATTTACTGCAGAGAAATTTACATTAGTATTAAAAAAAAAGATCTTGGAGTTTCAACGAGCAAGAGCTTAGTAAAACTTTTTTATGTGGTACACAAAGACTAACATATATATTTCATAGATGCCACTGACTGTCATATGTTCCATTATTATGGACTGAAAAAAATTTTAAATTATCAATTATGAAATACCATCAATTATATCATATTCAGATACTTTTAATGTGAAAAAAATGCATCACAGAGTCAATGAAATAAGTATAAAACCAAAAGAACTGGGATTATATGCTCTAAAACAAAACACTGTTTTCAAACTTTGTAAGGAAGTATATTCTCCTTTTCCCCTAAATGAAAAAGCATGGGAAATATCAATTAAAAAAAAAAGAAATACAGTGTTTCATGTTTCAACAATATTTAATTTGTTATATACTGATATCCAACTATGATCCTAAAATTAAATTTTCTATATAAATAAAAATGGATGTTTTGAAAGACATAACATTAACAGAAAGGAAGCTGGTGGTTTTACTTACTCTCCTCTCCACAGACACATACTCCATAATTTAAAATCAGATGTTTGTGAGAAAGCTGGCTCATCATGCTTGCTGCTTCAAAAAAAGACTAAGGAAAAGAAAAAAAAAATTAAAAATTACAAAAGAATTACCTTTTATGTCTATAAGCATTCACAGTTCAGAAAGATACTCTGCCATTAGAAAAATGCACTTCTGTTCTCAGGACTACAGACAAGACTACAATGTGCTTTGGTCCCTTTAGACTTGCAACTTCCATCAACCTTGATGTTAGAGTTCATTCTTAAGGAAACCCCTGATTTAAGCTTAGTTTAAGGAAACAGCAATGAGAAAGAGCAATTGTGATACAGGGCAATGTGAATGATGCAAGATAAACAGTCTTGACCCATAGCAGCCAGAGTGGAGAACAGAGATACATATAGCTGCATACAGCAGAGACAGTGATGTGCAACTGCAGTAAATATGGATGGGACCTTCAATTAACACTTCCTAAAGAATTAAGAATGATGACTCGGCAGATAAAACAGTCTAACACCTATGTCAGGAGACTGGCAGGTAATATCACCCTAACTCAACTAAACTTTGCCTAGAACTTTGGGGTATGGTTGTTGAAGATCACAATCACCAACACTTTGGAGTTCTGGATTAGAACAACTCTTTGGCTTGTATGTTTCACATTATCTTCTACTAACTTCTTTTAAGACATTTTAAGTTCATAAATGTGTGTTACATCACGTTTGGTGATATCTTACTATGCTTAAGACTCTGGCAACTGGCAGCAGGATTTCTGGTGGCTAGCATCTTAAGATGATGCCCAGAGATATCCATCCACATTTCACCTACACAGTGTTCCTCAGTACACTGCCTTTCAAAGTTTTTTAAAAAGTAGATTAAATTACAGAGGAAAACTGTGGAACCCAGGAAGCTCTGGGTAGCCAACTTTATTTTATTTATTTTATTTTTTTTTTCATTTATTTTTATTAGTTGGAGGCTAATTACTTTACAACATTGCAGTGGTTTTTGTCATACATTGACATGAATTAGCCATGGATTTACATGTATTCAACTTTAAAACCAACTGCCTTAGTATTATATATGCAAAGATGTAATCAAACACGTTAACACCATGCTTAAAAATTAGTTTGGAAATTAGTTACAATGAAAAAATTATGTATTTTTTAGCCCCAACAGAATGCATCCTCTGAAAGGTCTTTGATACATATACTTTTAAAAATTATAATTTGAAAAGCCACATGCATCGATGTATTTTGCATGTATGAGAGCATATTTTAACTATCATAAACTACATGAACTATATAAAGAATATACAAACCTCTGAATAGTTTCTATGTGCTTTATCCAGAACTTTTAAAAGAACTTCTGTTTCATGCAGCTGACCATAGTCTCCTATTTCTCTTCTTATACCTTTAAAAATTTTTGTAAAAGTTCCTTGGCCAAGGCTTTCATTCTTTAATCAAAATAAAAAAAAAAAAGGAAAGAATAAGTAAGGATGGAGGAAGATGCGGGAATTAGGAAATATGTCCAATGACAAGAGTTAAAAAAAAAAATTCATGAGCAAATATTTCCTTTACAAACCAAATCTGGATTTGAGACTCCATATTAATTATATTCTGCTTTCTTCATAGTAATAAAACACAGAAAACACAGATTAAAGAACAAAGTGTAATTTGATTTCACCCTGTTCTTCAATGCCCTAAATTAGGTATAATTATCACTTTTCACACTTTTTATAATGTCAGTGTTTACCTACATTTATTTGAATGTGAGTCTCTTTCCTTGCCAGCCTTTCCTGATAGTGCGGGTCTGACCTGTTCTTTATTACTACTCACTAATTGTGTGACCTTGTACAGGCCATTTAATCTTTCTATACTGCAGTTATCTTGGTTTCCTCATCTGAAGAATGGGAATAATGATTATTTTTCCATAGGACTGCCATGAACAATAAATGAGAAAATACACAATAGCACTTCGTGCAGTCCACAACAGAGTAAATGCTCAATTAAGTGCCAGCTATTGCTACTATTACTAGTGCTTCTTATACACCCTTACAGAATGATTGAAAGCGTGCAATCTGAAGCACGGCTGCCTGCACTCCATTATTATTAGTTTCGTGGTGTTAGGTTACCTAGCAACTCCCTGCTTCTTGTTACTCACATAGGATTCGTATCTTTGTAAGTCTGAATGATTCTAACTATTGTCTCCTTAAGGAATTCAGACATCAGTTTGGTCTTTCTCATTCTACTTTTCATGTCCCTTAAGCTCTTTTTCGTAATTTTCATTTCTTTCTCCCTGTCTGCAGCATTTAAATGATTTTCAGATCTTTCAATTTACTAGTTCTCTCTTCAACTATGAATAGTCTGCTTTTTACTTTGTCCATTTTTAAAATGTCAATGAGTATATTTTTCATTTCTATACTTTTTCCCCCAAATCTTTTTGGGCTATTTTGATACTATCTTGGGTTTTCCCCTTGTTTTCAACTCCTTTTTAATGTTTAAATACATAAACATGTATTTTATAGTTTGTATCTGAAAAGTCTGTTATATGAACCTCTTAGATATAATTTTGATGTTTACTGGTCTGCTGATTCTTGCTTAATCCTGGATTACTTCTCCATATGTTTTTAAATTTTCAGCTAAAAGCTCATGTTTGGAGTCATTTTAAATGTGGGAATCTTAGGTGGCCTACATTAGGAGGATATCCGTCCAGAAAGATTTTATATTTGCTTTTGACAACCACCACAGGGTGTTACTAAAGGAGTACCACCTATTATTTTAATTTAATTTATTGGCTTCAGTTCAGTTCAGTTGCTCAGTCGTGTCCAATTCTTTGCAACCCCATGAACCACAGCACGCCAGGCCTCCCTGTCCATCACCAACTCCCAGAGTCCACCCAAACCCATGTCCATTGAGTCGGTGATGCCATCCAACCGTCTCATTCTCTGTCGTCCCCTTTTCCTCCTGTCCTCAATCTTTCCCAGCAACAGGGTCTTTTCCAATGAGTCAGCTCTTTGCATCAGGTGGCCAAAGAATTGGAGTTTCAGCTTCAACATCAGTCCTTCCAATGAACAGCCAGGACTGATCTCCTTTAAGATGGACTGGTTGGATCTCCTTGCAGTCCAAGGGACTCTCAAGAGTCTTCTCCAACACCACAGTTCAAAAGCATCAATTCTTTGGCGCTCAGCTTTCTTTATAGTCCAATTTTCACAACCATACATGACCAATGGAAAAACCATAGCCTTGACTAGACGGACCTTTGTTGGCAAAGTAATATCTCTGCTTTTTAATATGCTGTCTAGGTTGGTCATAACTTTCCTTCCAAGGAGTGTCTTTTAATTTCATAGATGCAATCACAATCTGCAGTGATTTTGGCACCCCCAAAAATAAAGTCAGCCACTGTTTCCACAGTTTCCCCATCTATTTGCCATGAAGTGATGGGACCAGATGCCATGATCTTAGTTTTCTGAATGTTGAGCTTTAAGCCAATTTTTTCACTCTCTTTCATTTTCATTAAGAGGCTCTTTAGTTCTTCAACTTATTGGCTTAGGGCTTCTCAAACCATGCAGGTGGTATAAACTTTAATTCAAAAGTTTATAATTACAAATTCTGAGGATGAACTTTTTCCTAACTTAAGAGCACAACTAAAACAGACAACATTCTTTTTCTCTTTTTGCTAGTGGATAAATTTTTCACAATCCATATACTGTTTCACTGAGGGTGAATTTACTTAAGAATCCTGGCTTTATTCACAGATAGCCTTACTTTTAACTCCTGGTCTTGTATTGAACTCAAGACTTGGCCCCTTTTTGTACTGCTTTTAGCTCTTGGTTCTCTTGATTAGTGAGACTAATCCTAATGTCCCAAAATGTCCTGTGGCCAAACATCAGCTCTTATGTGTTACTACTGTTTTCATTACCTTCTTTGAAATTCCCTTACTTTCTTGAGAACCTGAGAATTAAGATACTTTTTCAGAAGAAGACTTTTTAATTTTTTTAAATTTCTCAAAAGAGAATACAATTCCATTCTTAAAATAATTAACTCAAGTTTGGTATCACATTTTCACAGGAAATGAATGTATCTGAACTGCTATAAAATTTTTATAACATAGGTTATAATAAAATAGTTCTAATGTCATGTGAATGACTGTGGGATAGAAAATGAAGAACAGTTCTTTAAAAAGACAAAAAGACAATAATCAGCATCTAGTGACTTACAAATACCAAATCTTCATTTCTAATTTTGTGGAACACCATTTGGTTCACATTATTATGCCTTTGTAAAGTTGGTGAGGTTGGTACATCAGAAATACCATTGGTTCTGAAGACTAGAAGGTTTGATTTGTCTGTTTAAAAAAAGGATAGAATGAATGAAAAAAATATACATATATAATCAAAACACAGTGAGATATAAATTGCTCCAAAGGAATAAAATAAAATGTGTCCTATATAAAAGAAATGCTTAACAGCCTCTTATTGTTCAATTTTTTTTCCCCACAGAAAACTATTTTAGGAGTTTTTTCATTGAAATTTGATGATGTACTCTAGCCAGTTATTATAATATATGCAAAATTATAATCATTTTCTTAACTAGTACAATTTTTCAGTAGCTTTAATATGCCTGCTTTCTCAAGAGATTTCTAATCTTACTATTTTCACTTTAAAAGATAATTTAAAAGAAATTAAGATTCTAAAAGGATCTGAAAGTATTTATTCAGAATAACATGAGAATTTGGTTGTGAGGTCATTCAGTTCAATAAATAAGTAGCTTATTAATACTATGAAATTATTATTTCTTAAAATAAATTTTAGAATTATACAACTTTAAGTCACTTATAGACAACCCAAACCAAACTGAAAAATTCTATTAGAGGATGCTTGTACAACACATGAGGAAAAAATTCATTGTTTTTGGAGCTTTTTCTCTCCTGTTTCTTGTGAAATCAGTATCCTGAAGATATCTCCCACCACATACAACACCCAAGACCAGTGTTTTAAAAATAACTAGAAAACTATTTTACCTTTTGGCTTTGGGGGACAGCATTTAGTAAACTGGAAAATTATACTGTCTGAGCGAACAGTTTCCATCCGGTAGCAATTCAGAAGATCTTTAAGATTACTGAAGTTCTTCTTAGTACCACTGAGGTTGTATTCTCCATTCTCATTTTTTGTAATCAAACAGTGCTTATATTCAATAACATTTTCTCGCTATGTAAGTTTAATTATAAAGAAAGGGAAGGAAAAATCACAATGGACATCATAGTGATTACTGTGACAAAAAGGATAGCACAAAAACAACCAACAGAACATTTAGACATTTGAACCATGAATCCTAATATAGTATCAGCATAAGGTGACCAAGGTGTTTGGTTCCTCAAAAAGGCATCTAATTACAACTGCCTAGCCTATAAATGTGGCTTAAGAGTTACTTTATTGAAAGGCAAGGAAGAAAGCAATAATAATAAACAATAATAATACCATCCTTAACAGCTTTCCATCATTTACAAGACAAAGTGTAAAACGATTTTAGCATATAAGGCCTTCCATGAGTTGGCTTCTGCCTCCATCTCCAACCTTAACTCCTGCCACTCTCAACATATAATCCATGTTATAACTATACTGAGTGACTTAAAAAATTTAAAGCAAATGCCATGCCATTTCATGCCTTGAAAACTGTAAGTGCTATCTCTCTGCAGAATGTACATCCTTTCCTTTTGAGCAATGGACTTTTATTCAATTCTTAAAACTCAGTTTAATTTCACTTTTTCTGTGAGGTCCTCCCTAACAACACCTACCCCATTCCACAGGCAAAGGTGATGACCTGTTTGACTGTGCCACTACAGTATTTGTATAATTATCTCTAATACGGCAATTCTGATAATATTCAGTCTTTCAATGTTTGTCTTATGTGCTTTACTTCTCATTCATCTATTTTTAAATATATTCAATCTACTATAAACATATTCAACCTACTTACAACCATTTTTTATAAAATCATTATCTCTGGTCAGTCTCAGGTCCTTCCTACTCTAAAGGACCTGTTTTAATCATTGTAAACCTTCTCTTATTGTCTTATTTGCTTATACTGGATAATGTTGTGTAATAAATAATGCTCAATTTAGCATTTTTTGGTATACTTTATTTTTGTTTTTCAAAAAGATAAATTTCTTAAAGCAAGGTTATACCATATGCTCCCTAATATACAGCCCTCATATTACACTAGACAAATACAGTAAACATAAAAATATACACATTTTGATTTGATAATTGAATATAATAGACTGAATTAGGATAGACTATCAATATTTTACAAGTCATGGAGCAGCCTACTTTCTATATTTTCATGGACAATTAATCCGCTTTACATATGTTAAATGATTGTTTTTTTATAAAAATTAAAATAATAACAATTCTTACAGTCTCTACTTTTAAAAAGTATGATAAATTTTGGAAGCAGCTATAAAGTTTCTCAAGATTTATACCATGAAATTGCTTTATAAGTGACAGTATCTTTTTATATAATTTTGTACAGTAAATAATTTTAGTTGAGATCCAAAATGGTCCATATTAACAGTGAGATTTCATTATAGTATTACACTTAAAGCATACATTGTAGATCATTATTCTTAATACTGGAAAAACCACCAGTTAAAAGTACAATGTCTTTTTTATTTCATTTATTTTTATTAGTTGGAGGCTAATTACTTTACAATATTGTAGTGGTTTTTGCCAAGTACAATGTCTTTTTCTTTGTTATTACCCTATTTCGCTCTAATCCTATAACCATTACCAGTAAAGTGAAAGTTTACTTCTGATTTATTTTGTTCTACATGTTTTGGTAAAGATTTCCATTTCTGTGAAAAAACAGACTTCAAAAGATGTGATGAAATCTGACATACTGGTAATACTCAAACAAAAAAATCCATATAAAAAGATATTAAGATATTACAAATAATTTTTAATATAAATCCTAGGAATTATATTTTGTTTATTTATAAAGAATCCCTGAGGTAAATTAACCTTACTTAATTGCTAGTTATCATATCCAGAGCTATCATTTGCAGCATTAAAGAGGAAATACAGTAGATATTAGTAGATATTATCAAGGGGGAATTATACACACTAAATAAAGATATTACCATTAATTAGTGTCATACTAACCTCAACAGCAAAAGTCAGAAAATATTTATTAAAGTCCTTAGGACTGCATCGAAGTACATAGAGTCCAGTCTGATTACCTGTTTTCTTCAGTTTACTGATAGCAAAATCCATTCTAAAGGTAAAGAAATAATTTGAATGATAATGTAGTAAGAACCATGACATTACAACCAAAGTGTCATCTAAAAGATCGAAAGTCAAATCTAGAACTCTAAGAGTTTTTATAAGTCTCCTCTCCTTTATATTTTTATCAATAATCTTGCAAAGAAAAATAATGAAGTACCAAGCCATTCTGCAATAAGTTCACATTGATTCAAGGGGCAATTATATTGCTTTAAAAACATAAGGTATTATAAGACATACAAAATCACAAAGAACACAATTCATTCCTTTGACTTTTCTGCCTTCCAATTTAAAATTTAGTATTTTAAAAACCACACTCAAAACTTCATTTAACTATATAGTGTATCATAAAACACTTATCTCTTCCATCACAGCAATTACTAATATAAAAATGTATGAGTATTTTTAATATTTAATATAATGAAAGTGAAAGTGAAAGGGGGGGGGAGAAAGTGAAAGTGAAGTTGCTCAGTTGTGTCTGACTCTTTGTGACTCCGTGGACTGTAGCCCACCAGGCTCCTTCCGTGCATGGGATTCTCCAGACAAGAGTACTGGAGTGGGTTGCCATTTCCTTCTCCGGGGGATTTTCTGGACCCAGGGATCAAACCCAGGTCTCCCGCACTGCAGGCAGACACTTTAACCTCTGAGCTACCAGGGAAGCTTAATTTAAATTTAATATAATACCAAGGTCTAATAGAAGACCCATGGCAAGCAACAAAGACTACTAATTTTTTTAAATTTGCTATATGTTTAACTGAAGCTGTATATATTGAAAGAAATGTAATCTACATGAAAGCAAGAATTATCTGTTTTACTTATCACTGTATTTCTCATATATAATCCAGCACCTGATACATATCAGGTACTTAGTAAATATTCTACAAATAAATGAAATAACGGATGGATGGATAATGAATGAATGAATGGTAGAAATTTTTAAAATATTGAATATGTAAATTACAGAATGTTCAAATAATGCAACTTTTTCATAGCAACCATACTTCTTTTTTGGCTGCACTGAGTAGCATGTGGGATCTTAGTTCCCTGATCAAGGATCAAACCCATGACCCCTGCAGTGGAAGCACAGAGACAGAACCACTGGACCACCAGGGAATTCTCACAATCATACTTCTTAAACAGACATTAGGTATAGGTCAACTCAGGCTTGAATTTCAGTCAGGACCTGATTTCTCAAATATTTAAAGATAGGTTAGGGTATAAAAGCTTCTTCAAGGGCTCAGACTGTGAAGAATCTGCCTGCAATGCAGAAGACTCGGGTTTGATCCCTGGGTCGGGAAGATCTCCTGGAGAAGGGAATGGCAACCCCTCCAGTATTCTTGCCTGGAGAATCCCATGCACAGAAGGAGCCTGGTGGGCTACAGTCCATGGGGTAGCAGAGTCAGACACAACTGAGCAACTAACACTTTCACTAAGGTAAAAAACATATGCTCAGAATCCCAGATTGTTTCTTCTGCTCAAGTCCTTCAAACCTGGTGCCAATCATAAAACACATTCTGGTTGAGAGATAACTTCTACTTGGGGTGAACAGATGTTCATGATAGCTGGTTTTATCTAGTATTAAAGTAAGCTCTACAACTGTGTGGGTCAATATGTTGGCTAGCAGCCGCATGAAGCTCTTCACAGTTGACCCTTGAAGAGTGTGGGTTTGAATCACAAGGGTCCACATATATGCAGGTATTTTTCAGTAGTAAATATTATACTACTGCATGGTCTGTGGTTGTTTGAATTCAAGGATATCGAGGAACCACAGATATGGAGGACTGACTGTAAGTTATATGTGGATTAATATCCTGTGTTGTTCAAGGGTCAACTGTAAAGCTATTAAAATTAAATAAAAAATTCAGTTCCTTGGTTGCAGTAGAAACATTTTAAATATTAAATAGCCACATGTGGCTAATAGCAGTTACTAAGAGCACAGATATAGAACATTTCATTTCCATCACATACTGCACAGCAATAGTCTAGAAAGATGGACATCAGATACAGTTTGTGTTCAAAGTTTCAGTAGAAGGTGTTGGATTATTCAAAAATAAGGATGATTATCAAATTTTGCATTGTGGCTCCTCCACAGTATTTCCAAATTAATGAAACATAAATTGGACGGTTTTAAAAAATTAATACCAAAGAATTAATTAAGGCTCAGATGGTAAAGCGTCTGTCTGCAATGCTGGAGACCTGGGTTTGATCCCTGAGTCGGGAAGATCCCCTGGAGAAGGAAATGTCAACCCACTCCAGTACTCTTGCCTAGAAAATCCCATGGACAGAGGAGCCTGGTAGGCTACAGTCCACGGGGTCACAAAGAGTCGGACATGACTGAGCGACTTTACTTACTTGCTTAAGAGTACTAAATATCAAACTTATACAAGTTAGTACTATAGACTGGCATACAGATGATAGATTATAATTTAAATAATTATAATTATTATGTAATCTGATTGGAAATAGACTTTTGTTAAAAGAAAAATAATTTCAATCAGATCAAGATAATATTTCTTTTCCTGAACTTCCTAAACCTAGGTATATCATTCTGTTGTGTAAAATATTCTTTGTAAATATCTTGTTATTACTTTAAAAAATTTACTTTTAAAGTCAGTATTACTCACGAAATTGGGCCATGACAGTTGCTTTGTATATTTTCAAGCACCATTGGAGGTGCTACTTCTTTACAAAGATAATGATGTGCATCTGCAGTTAATCTATAATATCCATCAATTAATGACACAAAAGACAAAGCTTCTCTTAATGACTTAAGCTCAATTTCCTAGGAGGAGAAAAGAAGAAGAAAAAATTTATTTTCACTCCATGTTATCAGGTGATTCTTCTAAATTAGTTTTCTTTGCGATTGCTCAAATGTCTTTTATGCTTCCAAGCTATACACTTTTTTTTTTCATTTATTTTTATTAGTTGGAGGCTAATTACTTCACAACATTGCAGTGGGTTTTGTCATACATTGACATGAATTCAGCCATGGAGTTACATGTATTCCCCATTCCGATCCCCCCTCCCACCTCTCTCTTTACCCGATTCCTCTGGGTCTTCCCAGTGCACCAGGCCCGAGTGCTTGTCTCATGCATCCCACCTGGGCTGGTGATCTGTTTCACTATAGATAACATACATGCTGTTCTCTCGAAACATCCCACCCTCGCCTTCTCCCACAGAGTCCAAAAGTCTGTTCTGTACATCTGTGTCTCTTTTTCTGTTTCGAATATAGGGTTATCATTACCATCTTTCTAAATTCCATATATATGTGTTAGTATGCTGTAATGATCTTTATCTTTCTGGCTTACTTCACTCTATATAATGGGCTCCAGTTTCATCCATCTCATTAGAACTGATTCAAATGAATTCTTTTTAATGGCTGAGTAATATTCCATGGTGTATATGTACCACAGCTTCCTTATCTATTCATCTGCTGATGGGCATCTAGGTTGCTTCCATGTCCTGGCTATTATAAACAGTGCTGCGATGAACATTGGGGTGCACGTGTCTCTTTCAGATCTGGTTTCCTCGGTGTGTATGCCCAGAAGTGGGATTGATGGGTCATATGGCAGTTCTATTTCCAGTTTTTTAAGAAATCTCCACACTGTTCTCCATAGTGGCTGTACTAGTTTGCATTCCCACCAACAGTGTAAGAGGGTTCCCGTTTCTCCACACCCTCTCCAGCATTTATTGCTTGTAGACTTTTGGATGGCAGCCATCCTGACTGGCGTGTAATGGTACCTCACTGTGGTTTTGATTTGCATTTCTCTGATAATGAGTGATGTTGAGCATCTTTTCATGTGTTTGTTAGCCATCTGTATGTCTTCTTTGGAGAAATGTCTGTTTAGTTCTTTGGCCCATTTTTTGATTGGGTCATTTATTTTTCTGGAATTGAGCTTCAAGAGTTGCTTGTATATTTTTGAGATTAATCCTTTGTCTGTTGCTTCATTTGCTATTATTTTCTCCCAGTCTGAGGGCTGTCTTTTCACCTTACTTATAGTTTCCTTTGTTGTGCAAAAGCTTTTAAGTTTCATTAGGTCCCATTTGTTTATTTTTGCTTTTATTTCCAATATTCTGGGAGGTGGGTCATAGAGGATCCTGCTGTGATTCATGTCGGAGAGTGTTTTGCCTATGTTCTCCTCTAGGAGTTTTATAGTTTCTGGTCTTACATTTAGATCTTTAATCCATTTTATTTTTGCAAGCTATACACTTTGAATTAAAAATTCTTGTGTCTGATATCTGAGACCCTCTCAAATATGGGTTTACCATGCTTTTCCGGTTACAGTCCACTCTATACCCATAACTATACTGTATTTTCCAGTATACCCATTAGACAAATATTCCAGTCATCTCCGTTAGAAACCTATCTATATCTAGTCTGATACAAAAGTTGGTATGAATTAGAAATACTAAAAGAAATTGAAGGAACAATCAACTTGCAGAAAATCAAAAAGTTGTCCATACAAGAATGAATATGTGATCATGGTATATTGCCTGGCTCAGCAAAGAACAATATTAGTCACAATGAGAACACAGAATGTGTACTTATACCAAAAATTATAAGGAGAGAACTGTGTGAGGTATTTGAACTATAAAAAATATTTAGTTAACACAGTTTATAAAAACTATTTCTATAAAAGATACCATGAACAATCTTAAAAGACATGAAGAACTGCAAACCTGTGCAACAAAGGATTAATACCTAAGAATAGTAAAACATGCTGATCAAAGTGAGTTACAAGTTTTATAATTTTGGTCATATAACCCTGAAATGGCCAGAAAGGTAAGACAGAGAGATATTTAAATTACAAAATAAATATGACATTTAAGCCAAAAGTACAAGAAATACCTGAGTTAAAAAGAAAACAGAGCCAGAAAAATAAGCAGTTTAAGAGCACAGTACAAAGGAATTCATTTCTTGATTTCAATTAAAATAAGTAGGATGTCTGAAGCTGTTTTATCTTATTATTATTATTATTATTATTTGCCCACGCTGGGCAGCATGTGGCCTCTTAGTTCCAGGCCAGAGATCAAACCCATGGCCCTGTAGTGGAAGCACACTGTCCAATCCTTTGGACAACCAGGGAACTCCCTCTGAAGCTATCTTAAAACAGAAAAAGGTTAATCTTTCATAATCAAACATGCCTCACAGTTCAGATAGGGATTACTTGGGATTGGTTCACATTCTGTTATATAAATAGGCAATATGATAGAATTACACACACCTCTACTGGTAAAAAAGATTATACAGTTGTCTCTCCATTCCTCTGTATCTGCATGGTATTGGGGCAAGGATCTGTCTCCCCTCCACAGACACCAAAATCCATGAATCCACAAGTCCCTTATATTAAATGATGCAGTATCTGCATTTAAAGTATGTATATCCTCCCATATCCTTTAAATCATCTCTAGATTACTTATAATACCTAATATAATGTAAATGAGATGCAAATAGTTATAAATACAATATAAATGCTATGCAAAGAGTTGCCCGCACATGGTAAATTCAAGTTTGCTTTTTAGAACTTTCTGGAATTTTTTCTCTGAATATTTTCAATCTGCAACTAGTTGAATCTGTGGATATGGAACTCACAGATACAGAGGGTAGACTGTGTAGACAGGAACGAGCATAATAACAGGGAACAAGCAAAACTGGGGGTGGGAGAAGAGAAAGCAGGAAGTAACTGGTGCTTTGCTAATTATGAAAATGACTGAAAAATACATTAATGTACAAGACATTCTTTGGGGAGATGATGTTGGTAGTGATACAAAACACTGTATGTAATCAAAAAGCTTGTTAAATTGATGTTACAGCTCTATTTAAAACTATAATCAAAATCCCTATGAGAGAACATCTTAGGTATTAAGATTCTGAAACACTTATTTCTGACAACCATAAAGCATAAGCATTATATAATGATAAAACAAACTTACTAGACTTTTACCATCTTGCTTATGAATAGTTACAATTCTGCTTTCATTTGAGCCTTCTTGATTTGCTTGTTTAATACTGATATCAATAATATCAGGAAAATCACAATACAACTGTAAATCCTGTAATTAAGAGCAGTTGATATTAAAAATAGGTTGAATTTATGGAGCCATTTTAAAACAAGACTTATAAAGGAGATTTCATTCCAAATTCTTTTTAAAAGTATTGATAGCAATAGATAAGCATTAAATGAGATTCTCTCTCCTAGTAATGTAACCCTAAGACTACACTGTATCTTGGCTTCCACTTAAAAATGAGAGGATTAAAGGGTGCCAGGAATCTAAAGTGTGCTTTAGTACCCTTCAATCCAATCAACATTAATAGAAACCATTACCAGAAAATTCAGTTTACCAAATAATGAAAATAAAAAAATAAATATCTGATAACATCCTAAGAACAATATAGATATGAACAAACTTAAAACTTGTAATGCAAACTTAAAGAAGTATTTAACAAGTATGCAACATCATAAAATCAATAAAAACTAATCTTTTTCTAACTGAATTTCATAATTGTGCTTCCAGTTATCAGTAACAGTAAAAGAAAAAACAAAGAAGCAAAACAACCTTAAAAATCACTTTTAGAATTTAAGCCTCTTTTGAACCTATAAGAACACCATCTGTATTTTCCAAATCTCCTGTAAATGTGTTATCATACTTTCATAATTTTAAAAAACAAAAATTAAAAAAGAACACCATTACTAATTATTTTGTCATACATAAAAAACAAACAAAACGCCATTTAAGAACAATGAGAAAAGAACCATAGCTATGATCTTGCTTGTGTCACATTATTAAAAACTTCCATTTATATCAATGGAAGGAGAGTAGTGCAAGACCATGTTCCAAATGACTAAAAGTACTTTGTTTCTATTACCATTCTACTAAATTAACAAAGAACGAGAACATATCATTGAGGATTACCTGTTCTGTCAGTGTCTCACTTTCTTTATGTTTCCCTCTTGACCACTGAATTCCACCGTTTCCAGTTATTATAATGGTTGCAAAAATCTCCTCACCTGAAGGACCTCTTCCAGGTTCTTTTACTTCAAACTGCTCTGTGTAGAAGGCAGACTGAAGAGTTTCCAGATTTATAAGATACTTAAGTTTCAAGTTTCTGGCAGTGGCTTTGCAATGGCTGAATTGCTCAATAAATCTGCGAAATCTGTACCTTATTCTCTTCCTTGTCAAAATATGATACTCTTGGATCTTTGCTCGAACACATTTTGGCAAAAATGTCTTGTAGCTAGAGATAATAAAGAGTACACACAAGAGCAAAACAAGTTGGAATAAAATAAAATTAGAAGATACCACTCTTCTCCATAATAAGTAAATAGCACAATAGTCAAGTGAAAAAGGAAACACAGTCACCATCCATGTAGTATAAAACCTTAAGGTTTTATTTGGTGATGTGAATGCCTTTACAAATTCTGAATTGTCATAAAATTTTAGAGAAGGAGAAGTTAATTTCCCCCCTAAAGAAATGAAGACGTAGTCTAGTTAATATTGGAATCTCTAAAAATTTTTCTTATATACGCCATTTTGGCATATCTTTCCTATAATGCTATACTCTAAAATTTATCTGAATTCTGGAAATTGTTATATTTTGTTAGATATTACTGATATTCACTAGGCAAACATACTTTTTTTGTGTGCATTATTCTCAGGTCAGCTTCAATAACTCCTTTGTAATAAAAACAATTCTAGTTGGAAATGTTCTGAATCTTTTGTACTTCCATCTCTATGTAAAATATCCTAAGGAAGGTAGATAACTTATTTCCCTTCTGCTCAAGTGTCTGAAAAAAGAAGACTATTTTATTTCTGAAGGTACAACTGGATCTCTATAACCATGTTAGATGCTATTCCCTTTGTCTGACAGCATTCTGTATACTGCTCCATAATTAATCACTTATCACGTTGTACTACACGTACCTGAATGCTGGAACTGCCTAATGCTGAGAGATTATTATAGTTTAATGATTATTTTGTACTGTTATAGAACCATCATTAAAATTTAAATTAAATAAAATTACAAATAAATTATATTTAAACATAGAGAATGAATACTCAAAAGGCATCACTTCCTAATTATTTTACATTATTTATTTATTTATTTTTATGTTTTTTACTACTATATGTACTTTTGAGGTTATATCTGAGTGACGGAAAGGGTTTGCTACTCATCTCTTTTCAACTCTGCATTGGGTGATCTCAGATTGCTACTTTGAAATTGGCCACAGATACTTGGTATTTAAACCATGCATATTAGCAAAAGTTACAAACAAATCAGATATTTTTTTCTCTGTTTAAGAACTGTTGTTAAACATTTACCAGCACACCACTGCTTTCCTTCCTTCCCTGCTCTACCCTAATCCCCTTATGGAGCTATCAGTCTTGTCTTCAAGTAGCCAAAGCTGCTGGGAAAAGTCATTTGACAAGGTAGATGGGTTGAATTATAAATTCATAATCACAAATTTCAAATAGGCTTTTATCACTACTATCACTTTTATGACATTTCTCTGTTCAACTAATTTCCCCAAGTCCCACAACTATGTCAAAACTCCTATATTCTTAAAGTTCCTACTTTTCTTCTTACACCTCAGCTACATTTCTCTCTATTATCAAAAATGACTTCATCTTTTTCTCAGGGGAAAAAAAGCTTCTCTAAGCACAATTCCCTCAATATCTTGCTGCTGCTGCTGCTAAGTCGCTTCAGTCGTGTCCAACTCTGCGACCCCAGAGACGGCAGCCCACCAGGCTCCACCGTCCCTGGGATTCTCCAGGCAAGAACACTGGAGTGGGTTCCCATTTCCTTCTCCATCAGTATCTTGCTAGTAAACCTTATACATGTGCACGCATTCTTTCTTCCTTCCCACCTATTACAATAAATAAGGTATAAATCTGTTAAAGTTATTTCTTTGATGTGTACTTACCTCTACCCTCTGGGGAATTTTACCCTATTTATTACTTATCTTCTATCCACAAGTTTTAAAACATTAATGTTCTTCCCATCTTAAATATAAAATCTCCTTATCTCTCATCTCTCTCCAGCCACAGACTATCTGGCTTCTTTTTAAAGAATGCATATAGCCAATTTCATTTCCTCACCTTCCATTTACTCCTTAACTCACTCCAATTTGGCTTCTGATCCATCATTCTCTAGAAACCACTCCTGCTAAGATCAAGGAATGTTGCTAAAACCAAATTCCTTGTTCATTTTACTTTTCATTTTCCAGAAGCATCCAACAGTGTTAACCACTCTCTCCTTGACACTTTCTTCCCTTAGCTTTCCTGATTTCCATCCCATTCCTTTGGCTACTTTGCCAGTCTTCTCTACAGGCTCAATCCCCTTTGCCGGGCTAAGTCGCTTCAGTCCTGTCCGACTCTGTGTGACCCTATGGACAGCAGCCCACCAGGCTCCTCTGTCCACAGGATTCTCTAGGCAAGAATACTGGAGTGGGTTGCCATTTCCTTCTCCTCAATCCCCTTTAGCTGGTGATAATTGTTAGAATTCTTCAAGACTTAACTACGGGCCCTCTTCTTTTATCATCTATACTTTCTTTCACTCTAGATAGTCTATATACAAACGACTCTGATATCTCCAGCTTTAGCCCAGACCTCTAAGCTTGAGATATTATCCTCCATAGTCAAGTCAATTTACCCATATAATGTGGCTGTCTCAAAAGTGCCTCAAACAATGTAGCAAACCAAATTCATAAGTCCCCATAAGGTCCTCCCCTAAAAGATTCTCCTAAAGCATTCCCTATCTGAGTACACTGCACTAAAGATCCTCTATTCCCACAAGCCCCAGAAACTCATGAATCATTCTTCCCAACCAACCCTCATTATTCAATCTGTCACCATCTTCCCTTGATTTTCCCTTCTAAATATTTCTCTAATTTGCCCATTTTTCTTATTATTAACTCATTCAACTGCAATTCCTAAAGGAACTACTGCAATGATCTTACTCTCTAGGGGACCCACATTTCCATTTTCTCTTTCAGCCCTCTAGTTTTCTACACTGTTGTCATAGGAATCTTCTAAACACACAAATCTTTTTACCCGTGCTTTAATACTCTTACATAGGGCTTCGCTGGTGGCTCAGTGGTAAAGAATCCAGCTGCCAATGTAGGAGATATGGGTTTGATCCCTGGGTTGGCGAGATAACCTGGAGAAGGAAAGGGCAACCCACTCCAATATTCTTGGAGCCTGGTGGGTTGCAATCCACAAATTTGCAAAGAGTTGGACACAACTTAGCAAATGAGCACAAACGCAATACTCTTACATAGTTTCCTAGCGTTCTTAACCTTATCAACATGCCTCTAGGTTCTATGTGGTCCAGCCCCTGCCTCATTACCTACTAACTCTTTCAGCTCTAATAATACTGACTCTTCATTCTTCCCATGTTTCTTTCTGCTGCAAAGCCTCTTCCATGAGCCTCTACTCTCCATCACTTACCTCTCTCCACCCATTAAATTATACTCATTTTTCAGACCTCAAAAGTCACATTCCTTTCCTTTTCAGGGCAATTATATATTTGTAAAAGACTCTTGATGAAAGTGAAAGAGGAGAGTGAAAAAGCTGGCTTAAAACTCAACATTCAAAAAACTAAGATCATGGCATCCGGTCCCATCACTTCATGGCAAATATATGTGGAATCAATGGAAAACACTGACAGACTTTATTTTTGGGGGCTCAAAAATCACTGCAGATGGTGACTGCAGCCATGAAATTAAAAGATGCTTGCTCCTTGAAAAAAAAGCTATGACAAACCTACATAGTGTGTTAAAAAGCAGAGACATTACTTGGCTGACAAAGGTCCGTATAGTCAAAGTTTTTCTCGTAGTCATGCATGGATTGAGAGCTGGACCATAAAGAAGGTTGAGTGCTGAAGAACTGGTGCTTTCGAATTATGGTGTTGGAAAGGACTCTTGGGAATCCCCTGGACTGCAAGGAGATCAAACCAGTCAGTCTTAAAGGAAATCAATCCTGAATATTTACTGGAGGGACTGACGCTGAGGCTGAAGCTCCAATACTTTGACCACCTGATGTGAAGAGCCGACTCACTAAAAAGACCCTGATGCTGGGGAAGATTGAAGGCAGGAGGAGAAGGGGACAACAGAGGATGAGAAGGTTGGATGGAGTCACTGATTCAATGAACATGAATTTGAGCAAGCTTTAGGAGATGGTGAAGGACAGGGAAGACTGGCATGCTGCAGTTCATGGGGTCGCAAAGAGTTGGACATGACTGAGCAACTGAGCAAAATATATAAAATTTAATAAAAGTCTGGATAGAATATAGGAGAGCCTCAGTAAGTTTAGAAAAAACCTGAAAGGTTTAAAAATACAATCAGAATACAAATACTTCCTACTTTACCTTCTTCTGTCAAAAACTTTAGCTAAACCAAGAGCCCTACTAAACCTGGATTATAATTTACATAAACACCAGTGCTACTTGATTTTAAAAGGCTTTGAAAGCTTATCTGGAAATCAAAAGAGGAGTTTAAGATAACAAAATTCAGAAAGTTTTTCCACTTTGATTCCTGGAATAAAGGACAGATGTAATTCTTTGCTATACTATAAGAATGTATGGTTTCTTGAATATGATGAATCTACTTTGGTGTCATCTGCGATGGGAACTAGCTAGATTTTGTTAGAAACTCTAAAAATGTTTCAAAAGTCACAAAGTTATTAACTCCTGAAGCATGAAAACATTCTTCTTGACGCTTTCGTTATACTGAAACTTTAAGTGTTAGTCGCTCAGTCACGTCCAACTCTTTGCGGCCCCGTGGACTGTAGCCCACCAGGCTCCTCTGTCCATGGAATTCTCCAGGCAGGAATATTGGAGTGGGAAGCCATCCCCTTGTCCAGGGGATCTTCCTCATGACCTGGACTGAGCCCGGGTCTCCTGCACTGCAGACATATTTTTCACCATCTCAGTCACCAGAGAAGCCCTAAACCTTTAAGGTAGCCTAAAATTCAGGCTCTAAAAGCTTCTGAAGTTAAGTTTTGTCTTACATACTATTTTTGTACCATAACATGAAATCTTCATCTTATTATTACAATTGGAACAGACCACTGTAAACTCTAGTATCTGCTTAGCTGTGTAGGAGTCTAGTGATATGTATTATACTTCTGTTGCTATGTAAGTGGCCTTGGCCCTGGGCTAGTGTTCGCAAATTCAGCCGGGTCTCCTTTAAACACTTTCCTTTCTCTAGGTCTCTTCCTTTTGCAGACCTAGGATTTCAAGGAGCAGATGAAGAATGAAACAGAAAAATCTTATCCATTTCCTTTACTTTCTGTATTCCAACACCAAAACCACAATGCCCAATTAGGATCTGACATAACAAAGGCTAAGTATCTAATACATACACATGCACAAGGAGATGCACAAACACAAGGAGATGCACAAACACATAGATATGGGTGACATGTAGACACAAAGGCTTGTTCTCACAGACACAGATGCACCTAATACACAGGTACAGACACACAGAGATGTATTTTACATGTATTTTTTTAAGTCTAGGAAAGAATATGTATTATTTTATGTATTATACTAGGCAGAGAAGCATTCTCTACTGGATATTTCTAGGAACAAAGCAGCTTATTTCATTCAGTAGAGAACAAATTATTCACCTGTTCTTCCATCAATTCCGAAAACTTTAACAAAAAGTAGAGTTCCTTGATTATTTTTCAGAAATAAGCAATAAGTGAAAATTTGGAAAACATAAGTGAATTAAATTACATTAAGAAGGCTAAACAGTGATAATTATTTACCTAATATTAAAAGGTCATGGTACCAAAGACAAATGAAAAAATAGATAAATTAGGTTACTTCAAAATTTAAATTCTTGTGCTGCAAAGAATGCTTTCAAGAAAGTGAAAAAAATCCACAGAATAAAAAAAATATTTGCAAATCATATATATGAGAACCTACATCAGGAGACTTGTATTCATGATATATAAAGAACCTTTATAACTCATTAATTAATACTGAATTGTACAATTAAAACAAATAAACTTTATGTTATATGAATTATATCTCAATAAAGCTGTTTTAAAATATCATGGAATCTTTTAATGAATGTTTAGTATCTATACAATTTTAAAAGTAAATGAAAAATGAAGAATTTTGCAGATGCATTTATATTCTGGTAAAGATAAAGAAATATAATTACTACACATTCACTTTTTTTAGGACACTAGATAAAATAGGCAGGAAAAAGAATAAATAGATGATGTGATTCCTGACCTCAAAGAAACCACAATCTATACTGTGCCAAGACTTTGGACAATATCATGTCTCCATAGCAGAAGTGTTCCACCAGAGCTTAAGCCTGGTTAAGAGTTGGCTTCATATTTAAAAATTCATTTTCAATGGCTCAAAGCTTCTCTGTTTTTCAACTATGTCCCTTTCAATTCCTTCAGTTTTTACTGACAACATCTAAGACACTCACCATATTCTACTATGGTCTTGCTACAGCAGGTATTCAACAAATAGTTGTTAAACGAATGAGTGAACAAACAAATGAATGAGTAAGTTATTACACTAAGAGGTGTTTGTCTGGATTTTAATAAAGATGAAGGCCTTACTGGAAAATAGAAACATTTTTATTTTTTCTTCAGATGCTGGAATCTTTAAGATACCTCAGTGAGTTCCTGAAATCATTCTGTATAGCCTACACCCTTAGGTTAAAGACTAATAGACATTTGGAAAAAAAAACAAGAATACCTAAAACTAAAGAGGGAAACATAGAAACTGATAGCCTGCAAACTGGGTATTTAACATGAGGGGAGTCAGAAAAAGAGGGACAAAAGCCAGTTACTGAGAGAAGGATTTCTAGGAATAAAGAGAATTTTAACCAGATTCATGACATCCTCAAACTTATAATCTGGTAGTTATATATAATATGTAAAACAAATGGTTAGTCTTCAAACTTCAAAAAAAAAAAAGTATCCTTACAGTAGTCATATATAGCTTCAAAAGGAGTAGAAGTTTTATTGCCATTAAAGCTGGCTATAGGAGTAGCATTTCAAAATGACTGTCAGAATTCAAGATGCAGAAGAATAATTTGGAGTCTGTGGATCACATGTATAAGAATCTGCTGGATGTGTTATAAGACAAATAAGGCCTAAAGATCTGATTATAACTGATAACATGGTATTATATAACAGAAACTTGCTAAAGGAGTAGAATGTATGTTCTCACAATAAATACTTATGTGAGGTGATAGATATGAACTGTTTTACAATATATAGGTAGATGTACACTTTAAATATCTTATAATTTTATGTCAAGTGTACAAAAATAAACTCAAAATGGATTTTGAATTTAAAAGTCTAAATGTAAGACTGGATACTATAAAATTCCTCAAGGAAAACATGGGCAGAACACACCCGGACATAAATCATAACAGTGTATTTTGGGGGGAATTCATCTCTTAAAGCGAAGAAAATAAAAGAAAAATAAACAGGATCTAATTAAACTTAAAAGTTTTTGCATAGCAAAGGAAACCATCAACAAAATGAAAAGACAACCTACTGAATGGGATAAAATATTTGCAAATGAAATGAACGATAAGGATTCAGTTCAGTTCACTCAGTCATGTCTGACTCTTTGCAACCCCATGGACTGCAGCACGCCAGGCTTCCCTGTCCATCACCAACTCCTGGAGCTTGCTCAAGCTCATGTCCATCGAGTTGGTGATGCCATCCAACCATTTCATCCTCTGTTGTCCCCTTCTCCTCTTGCCTTCAATCTTTCCCAGCATCAGGGTCTTTTCCAATGAGTCAGTTCTCAACTCATATAACTCAACATCAAAAAACCAAACAACCCAATTAAGAACTGGGCATAAGAACTGAATAGACATTTTCCCAAAGAGGAAATGCAGATGGCCACCAGGCACATGAAAAGATGCTCAATATTGCTAATCATCAGGGAAATGCAAATTAAAACGACAATGAGATGTCACTTTGCACCTACCAGAATGGCTATAAGAAAAAAAAAAATCATACAAATATCAAATGTTAGTGAGGGAGGAATGTAGACTGGTACACCATTGTGAAAAATAGTATGGAGGCTTCTCAAAAAATTAAAATTAAAACTAACATATGACACAGCAATTCTACTCTTGGGTATAAATGCAAAAGAAACAAAAATACTGATTTGAAAAGATACAAGCACCTCAATGTTCACAGCAGTACTGTTTACAATTGCCAAGGTATAGAAGCAACCTAAGTGTCCATTAACAAATGAATGGATTAACAAGATGTGGTATATACACACACACACACACACACACAATGGAATACAATTCAGCCATAAAAAAGAACGAAATTTTGCTACTTGCAGCAAAATGGATGGACTAGCAGTGAATTATGTTAAATAAAGTATGCCAGACAGAGAAAGATAAGTAGTGTACAGTATCACTTATATGTGGAATCTAAAAAATATAACAAACTAGTAAACATAACCAAAAAGAAATAGACTCACAGATATAGAGAATGAACTAGTGGTTTCTGGTGGGGTGAGGGAAAGGAGGAGGAATTGTACATAGGTAGAAGGGAAAAAGGATTGTTATGATAACATACAAAATCATTTGTTTGAAACTTTTGAAAATCCTAAAGCACTATGGAATTTAAAATTTTCTTCATGTAATTTAAAAAAAACACCAAAAAATAAATACAGGCAAACAGGAAAAAAACAAATAAGTTATACAAAAACTATAACTAGTCATACTTATATATATGGATTTGCATAAGAAAATTACCTGATAGAGCTATAGATGTCCAGTGGGGTTTGATTCTTTTCTTTGGCTATTCTCATCATATCTAACACTGCCATCCCAAGACATTCTTCCTGTGTTTCATGAGTCACAGGTACTTTTACCCATCCATGTAAAAAATCATGCCGCCACTAAAGTAAAAACAAAATATAGAAGAAAATATTTCTTAAGTTTCACTATCACATTTTAATCTATTATTGTATTTTACTGTATTTTGATCTATAACATAATTTTCAGAACATATACATTTAACAAGGTAAACTCCTCCCTTGATTTTGAAACACTCTACCATAAGGTTTTAGTATAAGTTCTTTTGCAAATGGAAAGTGATTTAAATTAGGTTCCCAATTATCAGCCTATTTCACTGATTCTATCTTCAAACTGTATCTTCAACATCAAAATTACCTAAATTAAAATAGGTATTAATCAATTAAATATGTACTGAATTCCAAATATGCTCAAAGCATTGTACTAAGGACTGTTTTGACTACAAAGAAATATAAGATGTAGCCTCAGCCTCCAAGGAGACTAAAATGTAGACAGGAAGTGAAACAAGTGAAAAAAAAATTATAATGCCAGACACTGCATAGTAAGTACCACACAACAGATGATTTAGGAACTTAAAAGAAGTTGAGATTATATCCAGTAGGAGTAATTAGGAAAGGTTTCACAGAAAAATTGAAATTTAATATATTCTTTGAATATGAAGAAATTTTTAAAAAATATTTATTTATGTATTTATTTATTTGGCTGCACTGGGTCTCTGTTGTGTCACACAGGATCTGTGGCTCAGCTGCTACAGAGCATGTGGGATCTTAGTTTCCTGACCAGGGGTTGAACCCATGTCTCCTGTACCACACAAGGTGGACTCTTAACCACTGGATCACTAGAGAATTTCCTGAAGAAATTTTTGATTAACACAAAACAGGATGCAAAAATAGAAGAAATGGTACAAAAAGAAAGCACAAGGCATGTTCAGAGATGCAAAGTAGTTTGGTTGGAGCAGATAATTCATGTAAAGTGAACAGAGTGAATTAAGACTTGGAAAAGCAAGTTGGGCTCAAACTGCAGGTGCTCTTCAACAAGTGGATACTAGAAGCAATAGAGAACCATTTTCTTAAATGTATCCACTTCATAAAGTATCTTTTCTTAAAGCATCATGCCTGTTTCACTGGTAGAAGTAGCAATGATACAAGAACTTTAAGAAAATGAAGTGTATTCAAGGAGACTCTTGAAGAGGCTATAGTAATGGTTCAAATATGAGAGAGTAAGGCTCTGCTGTATAGAAGAAAAAATACTGAGTCTGAAAAACCCACTAACTTTATAATTATATGTAAAAGAATGAAGAAAATGGAAAAACAGAAATTCTAAGATTTTGATCTAGACAATTTAGGGATACAGATAAAATCAGACTAAATATGTAATGGGAGAAAGGTTAAAAGCACCAATATTCTAAAAATAACAATTTTCTTTATAAGAAAGGTAAAAGCCGTAATAATGGCTGAAATACCAACCAAGGTTTAAACTAAGAGAAAAGATCATCCATATTTTATATACATATCTCCCTTCTTCCATATGATAACATCTCATGAAATAAGTTTTACATAAATTTAAAAAATAATTTTATTAAAAAATTAATATGCACTTAAAAGTATATTTGTTAGCTAACTTTCTATTAACAAATTAGAAAACATTTTTGTATAAGAAAAGAAATATATGACTTAAAAGGCACAAACCATGAAACAACCAGTGAGCACACACACACACACACCCACCCAAAACAAAGGCATCAATATTGGTAAGGCTAAACTGACTCAAAGAAGGATATTTCTTTTTGCTCAATTTCAAATACTAATTTCACTCCACTTCTGAAAATAGGCAAGTAAGTTATTCTTAATTTAAAAAAAGCCACAGATAACCAAAGGCTAGGAAGATTATTTTTAAGAGCTTGCTTCCATTTCATATACTATATGGGACCAGAGTATAATAAATTCTGTTTATGAGAATATCCTGTTGAAATCATGCCCAAAAGGCAATAAACATATGAAAAAAATTAGTGCAGTGCTAACAACATAATCAACCAAATACCATTAGAAAAAAGTTACAAATGAAAGAGTCCCAAATGTCAAAGCATATAATTTTAAACTAGCCTTCTTAACCATCAATAAAAACTGATTCGTTTGATTGACTCATTTAATTAAAACTGTAGAGAAGTAGTTTCTCATCTAGGCAGCTGACATTTGAACCAATAAGTTTTATCTACATTCAGCCAGGGGGGGAAAAAAACAGTTAATAGTAAAAAATTTGCCATATTTAGTCTAAAACATGCATAAAGTCTAACCTGATATCAATACAATCTAAGAATAAGTTAAATATTACCTTATTTATTTTCTGGGCATGGATTTAGAGTAGAAACACTAAGTAATAGAAAATTGCATGTAGTAGTGTCCAGACACAATTTAGGACTCTATTATGAAATTATCTTGCCATCCTAGATAAGAAAATCCCTTCTAGAAAGGTAAAATTGGAAATCACCCATCATTTTTCTAGATCAAAAGTATGAGATGTCATAATACTAATATTAGGGTAAAGTAGCTCAATGAATAGTTTAGGAAAACCTGCCCTATCAATGGGACTTACCTAGCATGCCACCAAATAAACTATATATGCGTAACAGATGAAATAATACAACTATAAAAGCAGCAGAAAGTCACAACTTCAGAGTGCCCTATTCTCAGAAACCTGTTCTCTCTTTCCTTAATGACTGCTGAAACAAAGGAAGCTATGTAAATTGATTGATAGTCAAACGGTTTTGACAAGAGTGCCAAGACCATTCAACAGAAAAAGAATAGTCTTTTTAACAAGTGGTACTAAAGAAATTGGATATCCACATGCAAAACAATAAAGATGGACTCTTACCTTACACCATATAAAAATTACCTCAAAACATAAGACTGTCCTTACATGCAGGTGACATGACACTACATATAGAAAACTCTGAAGACTCCACACAATAACTACTAGAACTGATAAAAGAATTCAGCAAGGCAGTAGGATACAAGATTAACATACAGAATTTGGTTGCATTTTTACACTAACAATAATATATCAGAGAGAATGTTAAAACAAAACTGCTTTTCAAACAAAATTTTATTTTATTCAAAAAAATAAAATACTTAGGAATAAATCTGACCAAGGAGGTAAAAGCATTATATGCTGAAAACTATAAAACATTAATAAAGAAAATTAAAGATTATTCAAAGACAGAAAGATATCCTATGTACTCAGACTGTAAGAATTAATGTTGTTAAAATGGTCATACTACCCAAAGAAATCTACAGATTTATTTAGCATAATCCTTTCAAATCACCCATGACATTTTTCACAAACTAAAAGGAATCATCCTAATTCTTTGGGGCATGCCATGCAACTTTCAGGATCTTAAGTTTCCCAACTGGGGATTAATCCCAGGATCTGGCAGTGAAAGCACCAAGTTCTAACCACTGGACTACCAAGGAATTCCCAGATAATATTCAAATTTATATGAAACCATAAAAGACCCAGAATTACCAAAGTAATCCTAAGGAAAAAGAACAAAGCAAGTGATCCTAAGGAAAAAGAACAAAGCAAGAGGCATAATCCTCCCAGACTTCAGACATTACTACAAAGCTACACTAATAAAAATGGCATGGTACTGGTACAAAAACCGACATACGAATCAATGGAACAGAATGGAGAGCCCAGAAATAAACCTACACACCTATGGGAAACTGATCTTTAACAAAGGAGACAACAACATACATTGGGAAAAAGTCTCCTCAGCCAAGTAGTATTGGGAAAGTTGAATAGCCACATGTAAACCAGTATTAGAACACATGCTCACACCATACACAAAAATAAACCCAAAATGGTTTAACAACTTCAACGTAAGACATGACACCATAAAACTCCTAGAAGAAAACATAAGCAAAACATTCTGACATAAATCCTACCTATGGTCAGTCTGCCAAGGCAATAGAAGTAAAAATAAATAAATGGGACCTAATCAAACTTACAAGCTTTTTACATAGTAAAGGAAACTGTAAACAAAACAAAAAGACAACCTATATAACAGGAGAAAGTACCTGCAAATGATGCAACAGGCTTAATTTCCGAAATACACACATGGCTCACACAATTTAGTAACAAAGCAACAAATAACCCAACTGAAATATGGGCAGAAGAGCTAGACATTTCCCAGAGAAGACATACAGATGGGCAACAGGCACATGAAAAGACGCTCCACATCATTAATTGCTGGGCTTCCCTGGTGGCTCAGATGGTAAAGAATCCGCCTCCAATGCAAGAGACTCAGGTTTGATCCCTTGGTCGGGAAAACTTCCTGGAGAAGGGAATGGCTACCCACTCCAGTATTCTCACCTGGAAAACTCCATGGACAGAGGAACAACACAAAACAAAAATACACTGAGATCTCACTTCACATTGGTGAGAATGGCTATCGTTAAAAAGTAATAACAGATGCTACAAATAACAAAGGCTAGAGAGTATGGAGAAAAGGGAACCCTCCTACACTGTTGAAGGGAATGTAAGTTGGTATAGCTACTACTGAAAACAGTATGGAGGTTCCTCAAAAAAACTAAAAATAGAGTTGCCATATGACTCAGCAATCTCACCCCTGGGCATATATCTGGAAAAAAACTGTAATTCAGAAAAATAAATGTACCCCAATGTTCACAGCAACCTAATTACAAGAGTCAAGACATAGAGAAAACCTAAATCTCCCCTGACAGATGAATGGATAAAGAAGATATGGTACATACATACAATGGAATACTACTCAGCCACAAAAAGGAATGAAACAATGCCATTTGCAGCAACATGAATAGATCTAGAGATTATCACAGAAGGGAAGTCAGAAAGAGAAAGACAAATACCATGTGATATCCCTTATATGTGGAATCTAAAATATGAACTTATCTATGAAAAACAGAAACAGACTCACGGGCATGCAGAACAGACATGTGACTGCCAAGGGGTGGGGGGACAGACTGGGAATTTCAAGTTAGCAGGTGTAAACTAGAGAATGGATAGGTAACAAGGTCCGACTGTACAGCACAGGGAACTATATTCAATATCCTATGAAAATCTATAACTGAAAAGAATATAAAAAGTGTGCGTGCCAGGTCTCTTCAGTCGTGTCCGACTCTTTGTGACCCTATGGAGTAGCCCAGAGGTTCCCCCATCCGGGATTCTCCAGGCAAGAATACTGGAGTGGGTTGCTGTGCCCTCCTCCAGGGGATCTTCTCAACCCAGGAGTCAAACCTGCATCTCTGTGTCTCCTACGTGGTAAGGCAGGTGGGATCTTTATCACTAGCACCATCTGGGAAGCTATGGAAGAGCGTATATATGGATGTATGAATCACTTTGCTGCATAGCAGAAATTAGCACAACACTGTAAATCAACTATAATTCAATAAAAAAAAAACGTGAAAAGAGATCAAAGATCTAAATATAAGAGCTAAAACCATAAAATATTTATAAAAAATAAAGAGGGAAAGCTTCACAATGATGAATTTGGCAATGATTTCTTGCATTTGACACTAAAAGTATAGATGACAGAAGGAAAAAATAGATAAATTGCACTACATCAAAATTTAAAATGTTTGTGCATCACAGGACATAATCAACAGTGAAGATTCACCTCAAGGAACAGGAGAAAATAACTGCAAATCATTTATCTAATAAGGGGTTAGTAGCCAGAACCAGACAACAACAAAAGAAAAAAAAAAAAAACACCTAAATAATCTAATTAAAGAAATGAGCAAAGGACTTGAACAGGAACTTCCCCAAAGAAAATATACAAGAGGCAATAAGCCTATAAAAAAAATGCTCTAAATAATTAATTAAAGAAATGCAAATCAAAATCACAACACGATACCACCAGAATGGCCATTATCAAAAACTATTGGTGAGGAACACTTGAGTGCCACTGGCAATAATGTAAAATGGTGCAGCTGCTATGGACAACAGTATAGTAGTTCCTAAAAACATTAAAAATAGAATTACCATATGATCTAGTAGTCTCACTTCTGGATATATACCTAAAAGAATTAAAAGTAAGGTCTCAGAGATATCTGTACACGCATGTTCATTACAGTATTACTCATAAGTACCAAAGGTAGAAGCAAAGCAACTATCGAAGAAGAGACATGAGTAAACAAAATGTGGTATATACAATAGAATATCACTCAACTTTAAAAAGGAAGAAAATTCTGACACATTCCACAACACAGATGAGTCTTGAAGAAATTACGATAAGAGAAATGAGCCTGTCTCAAAAAACTAAATGCTGTATAGTTCCACTTAACTGAGCTATCCTGGAATAAGCAAATGAATAAAGACAGAGTAGAAAGGTGGCTGCCAGAGGTCAGGAGGAGAGGGAAATGAAGAGCTACTTTTTAATGGGTATAAAGTTTCAATTTGGGAAGATGAAAAATGTCCTGGAGATGGATGGTGGTAAAGGCTGCACAACAACATGAATTCCCTGAATTGATGCCAATGCTTTGATCACTAAAAAATGGTTAAAATAATAAACTTTATTAAGTATATTATATCCCTTCACACATAAAAATGTCAGTTGCTCTATACAGCAAAAAATAAATATTCTTTAATCTGTTGCTCATAAACTGAACTATATCTACTACACATCTTAGAAATGTAAGCTATGAGGATTTGTGAGATTACTTCCCATGATATTAGCAAATCTCATTTAGAACTTGACTGTATACCTTGGGAATATCAAGAGCATATCTTTACATAAAAGCACTAATTTCTTTCTTTACTAACTACTCCTCATTCTTGTAGCACACAGACTCAAAAGTAATTTAACGACAAAACATTTCAATTACTGTTTAAATCAAGGTTATAAACAAGAAACCATTTTAAAATGTTCCAAAATACCACAAAAATCAAACAATATTAATAAACAAGTAACTGGAACACAGTTTCCAGGCTAAATATCAACAACCAGCTCCCCTCCTTTGAGGGGCTACACATACGACTGTACTGATAGTTCACTTTCTATGCAGTTACTTTCTTTACATTTCGCTCCCCACTAATGAAGTCTGCAATTGTTTAGGAATTTCTTAAAAACCTCTCTAAAGAAATTTCACTGTCTTATATTCTAGCCACTTAGGTCTACATGAATCATGCTGTAAAACTCAGTCTAAACTTTGTGAAATTCTTAAAATGATTTAAAGCACTAAAATAAAAAGAAAATTCAAAAGGGCCAATTCTAGGAATCTTTATAAATTAGAGTCTATTATCCATAAGCCATGGGCTTCCTAGGTGGCATCAGTGGTAAAGAATCTGCTTGCCAATGCAGGAGACACAAGACGCCGGTTCAATCCCTGGGTCGGGAAGATCCCCTGGAGTAGGAAATGGCAGCCCCCTCCAGTATTCTTGCTTAGGAAACTCCATTGACAGCGGAGCCTGGCAGGCTACAGTCCACGGGGTGGCAAAGAGTCAGATATGACTGGGCACACATGCACATACATCCAAAAGCTATGGGATTAAAAATTAGTGATAAAAGACTCAATTCTGTTACCTCTCTGCACCTGTTACGCATACATAGCATCAATTTTCCCATATGCGATTATTTCCTGATTAAGAAATATACTATACAGCAAGATATTTATAATTTAACACATGTGCAATGAAGATAATATAATCATACCTGAGCAAAAAGGTAAGACATGACAAAGTCATCAAGAAGAGGAGCTTCAGCACCTCGAGATATTCCATGTCGATAGGTTCTGTTGCTGCCATTACAATACCAGTAAGGAAAGTAAAATCTACAAGACAGTTAAAATACTCAGTCAGCCTCCAAACAGTTCTAAAATAGATAAACTGTGTATATATAACCATTTCCAGTCTACCAAAAGGTATTATCCCATACGCAGAAAACACAACTAAGTGTTAAATACAAAGTGAGGATAAAAGGAAATACAGATAAAACCACAGTAATAACATAGGCAGAAAATACAAGAAACATAAGTTTAAAATTCATAATCTGCCTTCTTCAATGCACAGAACATAGAAGCAATAACAGAAAATAGAGGAATGCAGAAATAAAACATTAACAAAAAAATTTTAACGAATTCTAGGAACATCAATAGAAGAATCTGAAAATGTTAAATTTGGTGTGAAAACAATTGTGTCTTCTTTTTAAAAATGGAGATTACATTAAAAAGAATGAAATAATACCACTGGAAACAACTGCTTCTTCTTTTAAGAAATGCAGATTACATTAATAAGAATGAAATAATACCACTGGCAGCTATATGGATGCACCTGGAGATTATCTTATTAAGCCAAGTCATAAAGAAAGAGAAAGACAAATACCATATGGTATCACTTATATGTGGACTCTAAAATACGACACAAATGAACTTATCTATGAAATAGAAATGGACTCATAAACATAGGTAACAGACTTGTGGTTGCCAGAGGGGTAGGGGAGTGGGGGAAGGTTGGATTGAGAGTTTGTAGTTAGCAGATACAAACTATTACATATAGAATGGATAAACAACAAGGTCCTACTGTATAGCACAGGGGTATTCAATATCTTGTAATAGCCATAATGTAAAAGAATACAAAAAACAATATACATAAATATGTATAACTTGAATCACTTTACTGTACACCAGAAACTAGCACAACATTGTAAATCAACTATACTTCAATTTAAAAAAAAAAACAGAGGTGACAAACTTGTCCTTCAAAGAAACAAAAAAAATTCTATATTGCTTTCACAGCTCTATTGAGACATACTTCATTAAAAGTTCAATGTTTTTAGTATACTCAAAGCATTGTACAAATATCACCAAAACCTAACTTTAGAACATATTTATCTTCCATAAAAGAAATTCCATTCTAACAGTCACACCCAAGCCACCCTTATCTGCTCCCCAGCCCTGTTACCATTATTCTGTTTCTATAAATTTATCTATTCCAGACATTTTATATAAATGGAATCATATAATGTGGATTTTTCTACATTCTTTCATTTAGCATAATGTTTTCAAGGATCACCCATATTTATAGCACGTGTCAGTACTTCATTTCTTTTTATTGCCCAATTAGATTTTCACTGTATGGATGTACCACATTTTGATTAACCATTCATCACTTTATGGACATTTGGTTTGTTTCCACCTTTTTGCTGTTGTGAATAATGTTGCTAGTAATAATCATATACAAGTTCTTTTTTCCCTGAGGATGTATATTTTCATTTCTCTTGCATATATACCTGGGTGGCACTGCTGAATCATATGAAATTTTATGTTTATCTTTTTAAGGAGTAGCCAAACTCTCTTTCAAAGCAGCTGGATTATTTTATACTTCTAACAACAATGTATGAGTGCCCCAATAGGTCCATCCTTGCCAACACTTGAGTGGAAGAGTTTAAGCTGAATTTTTCTATGGTACTGCTGACTTAGCATTCATTTTGTTTGCTCAAGAGTCCTATACGTACCTTATAAACTGACATTAATCCCCACACAAATGCATGCTCCAGACAGAAATTTGCAGAGTCACAAGCAATTACAAGTTCCTGATACAATTTCTCCAACAGCCTTTGTGATCCATAGTCATCCTTGCCTCTCCATGCCCATCCCTATGTGCCTCTTCAGTGGACGCCCATATGGCTTACTAAAATCCAGGTCTTTTGAAATGAGTCTAGCCTTAGTCCAGGAACCCCAAAGCACTCACCCACAAACCCTAATAAAAGCATGTACTCCAGGGCTGACTCTATCTGCAGTGTGCCTTAACTTTTCCATGTGACACCTTAAGGCATGCTGGTATGTCCTCAAGGACCAGTGAGTAATAAACTTTTCTGCTTCAATTCCTTTTGCAGTTTATTGTTGAAATGTGGCTCACCATCTGGTACCCTGTGTCTCACTTAATAAGAGTTAATTTGAAAAACTGATAATTACTGTCCATCTTTTTAATGCTTGCCATTCTAGTGGGTAAATGATATCCCATTGTGGTTCTGATTTCCATTTCTCTAATGAATAATGATGTTGAGTATCTTTTCACATGCTTATTGATCCTTTGAATGTTTTCTTTAGAGAAAGGGCTATTCAAAACTTTGCCCATTTATTTTAGCTGGCTTATTTGTCATTATATTGAGCTGTAAGAGTTCTTTATATACTATAGATATAAGTTTTCTGTCAGATACATGATTTACAAACATTTTCTTCCATTCTGTGGGTTGTCTTTTCACATTCATGTCAGTATCCTTTGATGCACAAACATACTTTGATGAATCCCAACTAACCTATTTTGCTGTTGCTGCTTAGGCTTTTGGTGCCATATTGAAATCACTCCCTACTTTAAGTACACAAAGATACAGTCCTATGTTTTCTCCTAAGAATTTTATAGTTTTAGCCACTAAATTAAGGTCTATGATCCATTTTAAGTTACTTTTTGGTCAATAGTGTGAGTTGGTGCTCTAAGTTTATTACATTCAGTTGTCCCAGCATCATTTGTTGAAAAGACTATTCTTTCTCCATGAATTGTCCCAGCACCCTTGCCTACAGTCTACTAACATAATATGAGAGATTACTTTTGGACTTTCAATGTATTCCATTAATGTGTATATCTAACCTGAGGTCAGTACCACAGTCTTAATAACTATGATTGTGGACTAAGTTTTGAAGTAAGAAATGTGAATCTTCCTACTTTGCTCTTTTTTAAGACTCTGATTTTTCACAAATTTTATGATTATCTGTCAATTTCTGGAATAAAGACAGAATTTCAGTGGCGATCACACTGAGAATAAAGATTAATGATGGGAATACTGCTGTATTAAATCTTCCTATACACAAATATGAGACAGTTTTCCATTTAGTTAGGTGTTTCTCTAATTTCTTTCAATGATATTTTATATTTCTCAGTGTACAAATTCTGCAATTCTTTTGTTAGGTTTAAATCAAAGTATTCTTTTATGCTACTGTAAATGGAAGCTTATTAATTTCACATTGTACTATAATTCCTAGCATACAGAAATACAACACTTTGAATTTCTATCCTACAACCAGGCTGAGCTCGTTTATTAGTTCTAATAGTTCATTAATTTCTTAGGATTTTGCATATACTAGATCCTAATATCTGAGAATAGAGTTTTATCTCTTCTTTTCCAATATAGATGCCCTGTATTTCTTCCCCTGGCTAGAATCTATTGTACAGTGTTCAACAGAAGTGGTGAGAGCAGATATTCTTGTCTTGTTTTTGATCTTTGGAAGACAGCATTAAGCTTTTCACTATCAAGTATCAGATTAGCTTTAGAGTTTTTCACAGATCCTTTATCATACTGAGGAAGTTCCAGTCCATTCCTGTTGTGTTTAGTATTTTGATTACAACAGAATATTGAATTCTGTCAAAAGTTTTCTTCCATGTTTATTAAGATGATCATATGCTTTGGCTCTTTATTCTAATATGGTACGTTATACTGATTTTGAGATGTTAAAGCAATATCCTAGGATAATTTCTACCTGGTCAATATTTAATCCTTTTTATATATAGGTAGATTTGGTTTGCTAGTATTTTCTTGATGATTTTTACACCTATGTTTATAAATGACATTGGTCTGTAGCTTTCATATTTTTTAGACTTCTTTGTCTGGATTTGGTATCAGGGTAATGGTGAACATGTGGAATGAGTTGGCAAGTGTTTCCTCCTTTTCACTTTTTGGGAATAACTAATAGGGGCTTCTCAGGTGGCTCAGATGGTAAAGAATGTGACTGCAATGCAGGAGACCTGGGTTTGATCCCTGGGTCAGAAAAGATCCCCTGGAGAAGGCAATGGCAACCCACTCCAGTATTCTTGCCTGGGGAACCCCATGGACAGAGGAGCCTGGCAGGCTACAATCCATAGTGGTAAAGAGTCGGACATGACTGAGTGACTAACACTTTTACTTTTGTCAGTATCAACGTCCCCTTCATGGGTCACAGTCTTGTCACAGTGAGGGGACTTGCATAACTCAATGAAGCTATGAGCCGTGGCATGCCCGGAAACCCAAGGAGGAGGAGTCATAGTGGGAGGCTCTGACAAACCATGGTCCCCTGGAAGAGGCGATGGCAACCTACTCAAGTATTCTTGCCTGGAAAGCCCCGTGGACAGTATGAAAACGCAAAAATATATACCAACAGAATATAAGCCACCCCTACCCAGGTCGGGAGGTGTCCAGTATATTACTTGGAAAGAGGGCAATTACTATTAGCTCCAGTAAGAATGAAGTAGCTGGGCCATACAAGAAATGACACACAGCTGTGAGTGTGTCTGGTGGTGAAAGTAAAGTCCAATGCTGTAAAGAATAACACTGCATATGAATCTGGAATGTTAGGTTCATGAATCAAGGTGAATTAGACATAATAAAACAGGAGATGGCAAGACTGAACAAGTACATCTTAGGAATCAAAATCAGTGAATTAAAATGGACAGCCATGGGTGAATTTAACTCAAATGACCATTACATCTATTGTGGGAAAGAATTCCTTAGAAGAAATGAAGTAGTGCTCATAATCAACAAGGGTCCAAAATGCAGTACCTGGGTGCAATCTTCAAAACATCAGAATGATCTTTGCTTGTTTCCAAAGCAACCCATTCAACATCACTATAATCCAAGTGTATGCCCTAACCACTGATGCCAAAGAAGCTGAAATTGACCATTTCTATGAAGACCTACAATACCTTCTAGAACTAACACACAAAAAAAGATGTCCTTTTCATCATAGGAGACTGGAATGCAAAAGTAGGAAGTCAAGAGATACCTGAATAACAGGCAAGTTTG